GCTTATATAGGGCAGGGGTCAGTCAAGAGTTTAGCAGAGCAAGCAAGCTGCTTGTACAGAAGCGGAGGCAGTTAGCGATAAGCAGGAGGGAACGGAGGTGGGAGGGAGCTGAGGTGAAAGGGAACTGGGTGAACTGGGTCAGCATACATCTGTCCTGCTATTCTTTCCATTATCCAAGTTTTAAAAACTAACAAATTCGAGACAGATATCAGCGGTCAGTCAGGTGCAATACACACATGTTGAACAGTTACAGTTTTATGGGGTAAAGGGAGCTTCAGTTTCTCCCTATCAGTTTCTTTACAGAGCACGCAGGACACTCTGGCCTTGGGGCCGTTTCTGTCCTCCCCTTTCCTGAAGGATGTTGCTTTTCAAATTCCCAGTGAAGGTCAAACTCTAGTTAATTTTTATGGGGCTAAAGCCCTCTATAATATTCCCCATTGTTCATCTTGCTGTCTCTGAGGTTGTTAATTAGGGCAGCTTAAAGACAAGTTGGATTCTAAGGACAGTGAGCTACAACAGTTACCATCAGCATCCACTGTTAATCACATCCTACAATTCTGCTTCTGTGGGATTCTGCCCATGAGACCTCATTACCGTCTCCACTTCCTGTGTTGTTATAGTTCCATCACCATCCCTGTCAAAGAGTGAAAAAGCTTCTTTGAATTCTGCAATCTGAGCTTCTGTCCGTTGCTCAGCCACGCCGCAAGGGCCACCTGTCTCTGAGACGCGACCACACAAATACTCAGAGCGCTCGCTCCACTTGGACTAATCAATAGTTATTTTAAAAAGTACCAATAGTGAAGTCTTTGTTCAATCAACATTACTATAGACTTGGTTCTGATCTTAGTTTCAACCCATAATTTTCAAATCACTTAAGCAATTGCCTAATCTGCAAGGTAGGGATTTACCTAATTATTAACATTTATTTATAACTCCAAAATCAGTACTTGTGGTGCTTTTGTGGTCGTTGATGGACAGGTACATGTGCAGGGCAAAAAAAATTGACTTGGTCAACACCCGGGATCCCAGCTGAGGTCAAACAAAGCATCGCTCTTGTTCAGCTGATACCTTAAACAAATAACCGTTTTGTGACGTTTCTCACATCTTTTGTGCTTTTTGTTGATTTTGCTCTTTCAAAATGGCCCCCAAGCCTACTGCTGAAGCGCTGTCTAGTGTTTCTGAACACACGAAGGCAGTGATGTGCCATCCAGAGAAAATATGTCTGTTAAGACCACCTTCGTTTGGTCATGACTCACAGTGCTGTGGCCCTGAGTTTCATGTTAATGAATCAACAATATGAACAGAAACACATTATTGCATTGATCTATTGACAAAAATGTGATCATACATTCACAGGAATCTACCCCTGTATTTCCCTTGGGAGCAGTGATGGTCTGCTGAGTTAGTGGTGACATTTTAAAAATAATTACTGTGAATAACAAAAATAAACTATATGTATAATATCTAGTTCCTTCTGTCCTTTCTTGGGTCAAACAGCTTTGAGTTTTCACCATCTTGAGTCCCATTGTCTGGCTTTTCTCCAAAATGCAGACATGGTCTGACTTATGCAGGACATGGGCAAGCTCTTGCCAATTTTGATCTAGATAGTTCAGCAACGTGGCTATACTCCTGGATCCATATATATATATATACACATAAAAAAAAAAATCCTCACCCAAGGATATTTTTGCACTTATCCTCAGATTGAGTGGGAGGGAGAAAGAGGAAGAGAAAGGGAGAAACATCGACATGAGAGGGTCCTGCACAACTGGGAACAAACCGCAACCAAGGTACTTGCCCTTGACTGGAATCGAACCTGAGACTCATTAGTCCCCGGGCCGATGTTCTAACTGCTGAACCAAACTGTCCAGTGTCTGGATCCTTTTTTAAATCCTCACCGGAGGACATTTTTGCATTTATCTTCAGATAGAGCGGGAGGGAGAGAGGGAGGGGGACAGAGAAACATCAATGTGAGAGACACGAGTGGTTGCCACCCACACAACCCCAACTGGGGCCCTGGGACAAACTGCACCCGAGGTACATGCTCTTAGCAGGAACCAAACCCGGGTCTCTCTGGTCTGAGGGCCAACGCTCTAACTGCTGAGCCAAACCAGCCAGGGCCTGGATCCTTTTAACTTTTACAAATTCCACAACTTTTTCACAAATGGCTGTCAACTTGAGCCAGGTAATTTCTTCCATCTTTTGTGTATTTATTTTTTAAAGAATTTTAAACATTTAAAAAACTGTTTTGATTTTTTAGAGATAGAAACATAGATTGGCTGCCTCCCACACGGCCCCTACTGGGGACCGAGCTCACAACCCGGGCATGTGCCCTGACTGGGAATCAAACAGGGACCTCGCAGTCCATGGGATGACACTCAGTCCACTGAACCACACTGGCAGGGCTTGTATACTATTTCTTTAGGTATATTATCTTCTTTCTTCAATATTGGCAAATATAGAATTTCATTTTTTGAGCCATCCATCCTTAGGAGCTAAATTGTTTCCAAATCTCCACTCAGGAGGTCAGAAATGTATTATTCATAGAAGCTCTGATGGGCTATTTGTGACATACTTACTTTTTGAAAATTTAATGTTACCAGACATTTAATCTGTTATAAACATCAAACTTCTATCATCTATTTCTACACAAAAGCCCAATTTATGTACCCTCTATCAACTCTGCTGTACACACCAGTCAACTTTGTAAGGATTTTAAAATTTGAAAACTTGAACTTTTTAATGTTTTAAGTTCCCTCTGAGGAAGATTCCACAAGCATTCAGAAGTTTCTTATTTACTATTCTGGATCGATGTTACCTAAATTACTTTAGTTTTCCTTTTGTGGTTCAGAAAAGAAAATATATTTCATTTATTTCAACAGAACTCGAGAAAGATTAAAAAAAAAAGTCACATATTTTCTTCCAACAAAAAAGGCAAAAAAAAAAAAAAAAAAAAAATCTCTTGTGAAGATCAGAATATTCTCCATGTAGGACACAAGCCAGCTTTTGTTCTATGTACTTAACCTGTTCTGATGACCTGTGATTATGCAATAAGCCCTACATTGCCAATGACAAGGTAAGAAAAATAAAACACTATGATTTTTTTAATGTAAAATTTTATTCAGATATTCAAAAAGACTAATCAAAATAAATTATTTCTAGTAACAGAATCATAAGAGAATGAACTCCTGAGAATATCAAAGTTTTTGTTTCCATACCATTTGTCAATAGGTGATGTGTTTGTACATTTTGCACTCTGTACAGAATCATAAGTTTATGAATGCATTTATTTTATTTTTGTTACAGATGTTTTTTTTCCCCATTGACACCTTCCTCCCCATCCCCCACACCCATCCCATGCATTTATTTATTTAAGTAATTTTTTTTGTTATAGATGTTTCTCCTTCTCCCTCAGTGACACCCCCTCCCCCATTTTGGCTGTATATGAAAGCATTTAATACATGTTGATAAAGATAGGATTAAAAGATTGATCTCACTGACCCCATTTTCTATAAAAAAAATTTTTCCCTTTGATTTTTAGAGAGAAAGAGATAGAACCATCGATGAGATAGAACATCAATTGGTCACCTCCTGCCTGCCTCCCACTGGGGGCATGTGCCCTGACCAGGAATCAAACTGGCGACCTCTTGGTACATGGGTCGATGCTCAACCACACAGCCCCACCGGCTGCGCAGATGAATCCTATTTTCAATGCAAACAAGTCGCCCCTCCAGTCCATGTCCTTCTCATCCCTGAATACTTTAAGAAAGTGAGCACACGCATGTGTGCGCACACACACACACACTCAAACAAAAACTCCCCAAGATCTAGAGTAATTCAGTTTTTCAATTACATTTTAAAATTACTTAAAACCAAATTGTAAAACAGGAAGGCATCAAGATTAAGCTCACCGTCAACCTTTACAAGAAGATTATACTACTTGCATACACTATTCAAGTGAATCTAGACTTGGATGCCCTTGGTTCAAACAAGAACACTTCCTCACATAGGAAGGGAATTACTTAAACAAGCAACCTGGAGTTCAAGTTCTAGGCAGCTGCTCAAGTTGTGATCTACTTCAAACACATAGCTCTAAGTTTATGGGACCAATAATCTACTCTAAGCGAGCCATTAAAAATATCAGTTTCAAGTGGTTTTGGTTCTTTTTAATAATACTTTATTCTTTGTTAGTTACAAAAGACTGAAAACCCAATACCTCCTGGAAAGTAAAATACTCCTAAAAATATAATTAGGATATGACCTGATGGGGAAGCAAAGAGGCAGACAGCACCTTTTACCCACAGAGTCTAATAAAATCTAAGGCATGTGAGTTTTATTTTTGACTCTCACACCTAAATCAACCATCTCCCATGACCACTTCTCATAATCATTATGTTCCTACTGTCACACCATTTTGGGAAAACCCAATCTTCTTCTAGCTAGAGTTCAAATCCCAATATAATAATCCTACCAATTTACCCTATCTTTAGGTGATATCAGCATTCATTTGGACTAAATGGTATTTGGAAAACCAGGTTGCATGGGCAGAGGACTCTCCTAAATGGGACTTTTTTAAATGGTAATTTGGGGGGCTTGAACTCTAGTTCTTGATGTGCACAATAAAGCCTATGTGCAAATCCCAAACTCCATTCTTTACGGGATCTTCTGTTTTTCAGTCATGCTTCACATCTTCTCAAATGTTGCCACTTTGGCTACAGGTTTCAGTTTCTTTAAGTCGTATTTTAAAATGATGAGATTTTTGGGTATTTGCCTTCAAAGATCCACAATATTGTATGGGCAGAGAACCATACAGATACGATTTGAAATGACAGCAGTTCAGTAACTTAATTAAAAAAAAAGAGAGATAACAGAAAAGAAAAAAGGAACCTGGCTTATAATATCAATATATCAAAACTATTTGTGATAAAGAAGTGGCACTGTACATCCTATAACCAAGGAGATACAGAAATATATATCTCAATTATATTCCAGTTTTGGAAAAAATGTGTGTGAATATAGCCCTTAGTCCTAAGAACATAGAAAATAATGAAATCTTCATTTTCCACGTAAAGGTCAATGTTGAATTTGGTGTCCAATCAACACAATGGATCAGGAACATGGGCCACAGAGAACCAATCCTTGCTTTCCCGGAACCACAAGAAGCCATGCAGGTTGTGGCTATCTGTCTGAAGTAAGGGCTACTTAAGGCTATTCAGAAATTTGGCATGTTCTTCTCCTCTTGGTAAAAGGGTTTCTCCTCCTATCTTTGGACCTGTCTTTTCCTAGAAAAATGAAAATAGTTTCATAAGAAATGGGTGAACATTTGCACAGGTCACTAAAATCAGTCACCTCATAAATGCCATACCTTTAGCATTGCGTCCTTTTCCCATTTGAAGAGGCCACAGTTACTGAAACAGAAAAGGTAAGATTTACTCGGCGGTGAGCTATGCATGGGCCCACACACAGAGAGACACATGAAGAGTATTCCCCACTCAAGCACAAGCTGATCAAAGCGACACTCACATTACAGGCTAGGCTAGAATGCTACTGAAAATACACATTACCAGTGATTTGAGAAACAGTCTTCATCTCTGTAATAAGCCGGAGACATCAGAAATGGAATTTCTAATGATAATGTGACAGAGCTGTATGCATGGTATGTGATGAATGCAACCTTGGTTCCTATATTCACTGGGATGACAATTTAGAAAGCTAGCCTGAGGCTTACCCGACCCCTTCTCTTTTTCTTGAACTAAAAGGTAGGGATAAAAAAGGATTAATCAGCCCTGGCTGGTTTTGTCAGTGGTTAGAACATCAGCCCATGGACTGAAGGGTCTCAGGTTCTATTTCCAGTCAAGGCCATGTACCTGTGTTGCAGGTTTAATCCCTGGCCCCTGTTCAGGGTTGTGCAGGAGGCAATCAATCTATGTGTCTCTCTCACAACCATGTTTCTGTCTTTCTCTCTCCATCCCACAATGTCTGAAAATAAATAGAAAAATATCCTCAGGTGAGGATTGGGAAAAAAAAAAAAAACATTTAACTACACATTAGACCACTAGAGCAGGACTACTTAGAGGGAAGTATGACCGGCAGTACAGGTCTGTTCACACTGGCATCACCACAAACACAAAGGAATGCCTTGCTGGACAACAGGACGGCGATGGCCTGACAACAGATACCACATCACAACAGCTGTGCCATCACTAGACAGGAATTTTTCAGCTCCTCTATAATCTTAGAGGACCACCAACCCATATGCGGTATGTCGTTGACTGATCCATCATTATCCAGCATGTGACCGTACGTAAATGAGGAGAGCACTGAATCGACCAGTGATGGTGTACTACAAGCTTTGTGTGATCAGCCACCCTGAACTCCACAGAGTGTCGTTTATGTTGTATTCTATGTGAACACCACCCAACACAGTAGCTCTGCTTCTGTATCTGAAGACCTCACAAAAGTAAAAAAAAACAACAACTTAAGAGTAGGTGAAAATCCCAACTCCCTCAGCAAATACACATATTCCCCAATCCACCTTATCCATACATTATTTATTCCACAAATGTTTCTGAGGACCTACTACAGGCCAGGCAACAGGTATTGGGAATAAAGTAGAGAGGAGGGCAGGGTCCCTTCTCTTCAGGAGCTATAAGAAGCATAGAAATAAGGCTTGACTCTTACAAAGGACTGTGCAGTGTTTTGATGTTAACAGTATCACGTGGGAATGGAAACAAGGGTTCAAGAAGTCTAGATGGGACAAGGAACCCCAGGCAGTCCTCATACCTGCAATGCTTTTTGGGAAGCCTGTCAAGAGAGATGCACCTATTTCCACAGGGACACTTGAAAAACCTTTTCACGCCATCATGCCAATGGTAGTCATGCTGCTCACGGACGCAGGTCTCCACAGGCTTGAAGTGGGTGTAGGCACACTGCACAAGACCAACAGAAGGGCACAGAGCCAGTAACAAACTCTGAAGGAGAAACCTGCCAGCTATGACAGCAATCTGTCCTCTCATCATGACCCAGGTGCTTGCTAGTGGAGTGACCACCTTATCTTCCAGGCGCCATGAGCCCTGTGGTTTCTTGGGTCCCCCATACTGATACCACTTTTTCTCATGTTTGCCCCAATTTCTCGTCAGGCATGAAGCACAAAATAAACTTCTGTGACATCAAGACAACAGAAAGGGCAGGGGAAGAAAAATACTAGAAACTCAATAGCCTGGACAGGGCTGTCCCAGTCACTGCAGTCCCCTGGTCACGGGACACTGAGGCACGGGGCCCACTGAGGAAGTGGATCAGCAACTCATTCCCTTTTTCTTACAAGGCCTCTGAAAAGAATATAACCTTGTTACTATTCTTATTTTTTAAAGTCGCAAAACCAAGACAGAGATACAGTATTAAGTAATTCATTTAATTTTGATTCTCAAAAGGACTGAAGAGAATAAGAAATGGTGGGTGAAGCTTGAAAGGGTGCAGAGATAGTGCAATATTAATTTCTGCTAATTACACCGAATCTAGATAAATAATTTCAGACTTTGGTAACCTTAAACAGTGCAGAGCAGCCCCGGCCAGTGTGGCTCAGTTGCTTGGAGCATCATCCTATGCACAAGGTCACGGGATCGATTCCTGGTCAAGGCACTTACCCACATGCCTAGGTGGCAGGGATATGCCACAGTGGTAGGCAGAATAATGCCCCCTTCCCCCAAAGATGTATATACCCTATTCCCTGAAGCCTATGAGTATGTTATTAGGTTAAGTGGCAAAGGGGGGATTAAGGTGGCTAATTAGTTGATTTTAAAACAGGGAGATTATTCTGAATTATGTGGGTGGGCCCAAAGGAACCGCAGATGTCTTTAAAAGTGGAGGTGGGACAAAGGAGAGGAGGTGGAGTGGTGCTATTGCTGGCTCTGAAGAGAGAGAAAGGGGTTATAAACCAAGGAATATGGGCAGGATCTCGAAGCCAGGAAAGGCAAGGAATGGGTTTCTCTCCAGAAAGAAACACAGCCCTTGAGGATACCTAGATTTTAGCCGTCAGACCCGCACAGACTTCTGACCTACAGACCTTTAAGATAATAAATTTGGCCCTGGCCAGTTTGGCTCAGCAGTTAGAGCGTCGGCCTATGGACTGGAGAGTCCCAGGTTCGGTTCCCGCTAAGGGCACATACCTCGGTTGGTTTGTCCCCAGCCCCAGTTGGGGTCGTGTGGGTGGCAACCACTCAGTATGTCTCTCACATTGATGTTTTTCTCTCTCTCTCTCTTCTTCCCTCTCTCCCTCCTGCTCCATCTGAAGACAAATGCAAAAAAATGTCCTCGGGTGAGGAAAAAAAAAAGATAATAAATCTGTGTTGTTTTAAGCTACCACATCAGTGGTCATTGTTACAGCAGCAACAGGAAACTAATACACCATCTATCTATGTCCTTAGGTTTGCCACTGTGCCAGAGTAAAGCTGTCATCTGAGGTAAAACCTTCACTTATTCTCCAAGGTCTGAACTTTCTTAAGGAAGTCTTTTTGGTTGTGGCTGGTTCAGGACCACTCACTAAATGTAAAGGAGAATCTAGGGCTTTAAAAAGAATAAAGATAGCCCTGGCCGGTTTGGCTCAGCGATTAGAGTATCGGCCTGCGGTCCAGAGAGACCTAGGTTTGGTTCCTGCTAAGGGCATGTACCTCGGTTGCAGTTTGTCCCCGGCCTGGTTGGGTCATGCGGGTGGCAGCCACTCGATGTGTCCCTTTCACATTGATGTTTATCTCTCTCTCTCTCTCCCTCCCACTCTATCTGAACAAAAAACGAAAAAACGTCCTCGGGTGAGGATAAAAAAATAAATAAATAAAAAGAATAAAGATAGAAAAAAATTGTACCTGGTAAGCTAAGCCTCTTCCTCCTCTTACATGCAAATATAAGGCTGACGAGCCAAGCAGGGATGAAATGAATGGTAACAATACAGTACTGAGAAAGAGCTTTTTGGGGGCCTTTTTTCTTTTGTAACTTATTGATTTTGAAATTTGAGAGGGATAGAGGAAGAAAGAGAAAGAAAAAACACTGATTTGTTGTTCCACCCATGCATTCACTGGCTGATTCTTGTATGTGCCCTGGCTGGGGATTGAACCTGCAACCTTGGCATATGGGGATGACACTCTAACCAACTAAGCTACTTGGCCAGGATGGGGGTTGATGGCATCATTTTTAAATTAATGTTGAGAAATAGGGAATTTATTATTTCCTAATAGATGTAGGATAAAAATCCTGCAAATATAGACAATAATACAGTTCATACTCTGCCTCGGGATTCAATTTAGTGGGTTAAGCCCTGAGTAGAAAGAAACAACAAAGGAGGGACACCTTATTGTAATACTTTCAACAAGGTAAATTTATAATAAATAAAACAAAAAATTCTGGCTGTTCAAATAATATTTTGAAGATAAATGAAATAAAAAACTTAATCTTAAAAAAAAAAAAGACAACAGTAATTGGTCCTACCATGATATCCCAAATCAAGTCATTCAACCAAAGCCCCAGAATATGTGACCTGAACCCTGGCCAGTTTGGCTCAGCGGTTAGAGTATCGGCCTGCGGTCCAGAGAGACCCAGGTTCGGTTCCCGCTAAGGGCACGTGCCTCGGTTGCAGTTTGTCCCCGGCCCAGGTTGGGTCATGTGGGTGGCAACCACTTGATGTGTCCCTTTTTTTTTTTTTAATCCTCACCTGAGGATATTTTTTCTATTTTTTGTACAGATAGAGTGGGAGGGAGAGAGTGGAAGGGAGAGAGAGAGAGAAACATCGACGTGAAGGGACACATCGAGTGGCTGCCACCAGCACGACCAACCAGGGCCGGGGACATACTGCAACCGAGGTACGTGCCCTTAGCGGGAACCGAACCCGGGTCTCTCCGGACCGCAGGCCGACGCTCTAACCGCTGAGCCAAACTGGCCAGGGCGATGTGTCCCTTTCACATTGATGTTTCTCTCTCTCTCTCTCCTTCTCCTATTCTATCTGAACAAAAAATGGAAAAATGTCCTCGGGTGAGGATAAAAAAAAAAAGAATATGTGACCTGAGAGTGTGATTTCTAGACACTTGAGAAAGATGTAAGAATAATTTGGGTCCAATGAGCAAAAGGGAAGAGACGTTAAAAACTCATCTGCAGAACTGGGAGCTGAGGTCAAATGAGAGAAAAACCTCACTACAATGCTCCCCTCATCAGAGTTCATTGGTCAGGTCGGCATAAAGTCAGATCCTGGGCTATCGTAAGCAGTTTCATTTCCAATGTAAATAAATGACCTAAGCAAGTCTCTGGTCACAAGATATGGCCCAAAAGATATCCCATAGATTCTCCATGTTTTGCTGAGTCACAACAGCACAAAATAGGGCCCACGGTCAGACTGTCTTCCTGCACTCACCGTCTTGCATGTCACTACTCGACATTTCACTTCTTTGATGTTTCTCATCTTTTCTTCCATTTGTTCTTTTTTCACCAGTGGCTCAAAATAGAGTTCTTGCAGCTCAGCCTCGGCCTGGAAAGACAAGGCATACAGGAGACCTTGTACCAAATCAACATATACTCAGACAACAGTACAATAACAGAACTGAACAGACAAACTTCCTGTCAATGAGGATACTTGATAATAGTTTGCTAAATGCAAACCAAAAAATGATCATAAGGCCAGGGCATATTTTTTCTCTTAAAGACCATGCAAATGTCACTCTTTTTTCTTTTAGCTATACAGTTCAACTGTGTAAAATAGTGTCTGGCACACTGAGAAAAAAAAAGTGGTCATAAGTAGACACAAGTTTTCGACACACTGAAAAAAAGGGTACAGTAGCATATAATTTTCATTCATTCATTCCTTATTATTTTTTATCCTTACCTGAGGACTTTTTTTTTTTTTGCATTTCTCTTCAGACAGAGCGGGAGGGAGAGGGGGAAGAGAGAGAGAAACATCGATGTGAGAGAGACACATCAAATGGTTGCCACCCACACGACCCCAACCAGGGCCGGGGACAAACCGCAACCGAGGTATGTGCCCTTAGTGGGAACCGAACCCAGGACTCTTTGGTCTGCAGGCTGATGCTCTAACCGCTGAGCTAAACTGGCCAGGGCAGCACATGATTTTTAGAACACTAAATAAAAACTTAAAATACTACCATTACTAATAGTGTCATCATGTCAAGTGTGCACCAGAAGGGAATTAGTCCTACTATCCCAATACAGACTCCAGCTATGGAAGGTATTCGATGCCTCCTTAGCAACAGCAGCCCACTCTATTCTATACTCTTCTCTAGACCAATACTTGGTAGGAGCAACCTTGGCTGTTTGAAACAACAGGGAGGAGATTGAGGGCAGTGAGATATTTACAGCAGAAAGTGTTCACAGGTCTGGAGGTTCTGGGGTCTCTGGTGGCTACAAAAGGAAAGAAGTTCAGCTCTACAGTCATTTGAACATCTCTCCTGATTTCAAGTCCAATAAAAGATATAATATAGCCCTAACCAGTATGGCTCAGTAGATAGAGCGGCAGCCCTCACACCAAAGGGCTGTGGATTCGATTCCAGGTCAAGGGCATGTACCCGGGTTGTAGGTTCGATCTGGCCCCAGTTGGGGCACTTGTGGGAGGCAACCAATCAATGTGACTCTCACATCAATGTTTCTTTCTCTCTTGCCCTTCCTCCTTCCCTTCAACTATCTCTACAAAAAAAATCAATGGAAAAAATATCCTTAAATGTTAACAACAACAAAAAAGATGATATATAACCTTCTCATTAGTCATTTGCTAACTGAAAGAATAGCAGATCTTTCAGTGTATCAGCATTAAAAAGGGGCAATAATGCCCCCAAGAGGACATTTGAAAATCTGTGGGAACGTTTTTTTTGTTATCTCAATGACTGTTACCCTTGCTACTGGCAGGGGCCAAGGCTGCTACACCATCTGCAATGCACAGAAGTCCCCCACACAAAGGATATTTCTGAATGTTTTTTGGGACATGTAGATGAAAAACCTGATTACAACCCTTGAACCTAACTGATTTATAAACAAACCTACAATATTTGTGCATAGTTTTAATGTACATTGAATACCCTAAGAGTGCATCTAGGCAACTCCCGTGTATATGGAGGGAGAATTGCACTTCAGTGTCTTCAAATGTTTCCCAAGATTATTCAGTTTGAAAAAACATCACATTTTTGTCCAGACGGTATGGTTCAGTGGACTGAGCATCATCCCATGGACTGACAGTTCTCGATTCAAATCCCTGTCAGGGGACATACCTCACTTTTGGGCTCAATCCCCAGTAGGGGGCATGCAGGAGGCAGTCAATCTATGTTTCTCTCTCACATCGATGTTTTTATCTCTCTTTCTCCCTTCCTCTCTCTCTAAAAAAATCAGTGAAAACATATTTTTTTTTAAGAAACACACATTTTGAAAGAAATAGGCCTATGGAATTTAAGTTACCAAGAAAACACATTTCTATGAGTCTTCCTTTCCACCTGTCTCAAATATTTACAACACTTATAAATACAACACTCTGAGGACTTTATTAGTTCTACTAGGGTGTTGTGTCCAAGTATTTTCATAATAAAATACATATTAAAAAAAATTTTTCCTGGCCGGTTTGGCTCAGGGTTGGAGCATCAGCCTGCAGTCCAGAGAGACTGGGGTTTGATTCCCGCTGAAGGCATGTACATCGGTTGCAGTTTGTCCCTGGCCCTGGTTGGATTGTGTGGGTGGCAGCCACTCGATGTGTCCTTTTCACGTCAATGTTTCTCTCTCTCTCTCTTCCTCTCTCCCTTCCACTCTATAAAAAAAATTTTTTTTTCTTTATTGATTTTAGAAAGAAAGAAGGGAGAGGGAGAGAGAGAGAGAGAGACAGAAACATTGATGAGAGAGAACATCTATTGGCCGCCTCCTGCATGCCTCCTACTGGGGATGTGCCCTGACCGGAAATTGAGCTGGCGACCTCTTGGTGCATGGGTCAATGATTGTCCACTGAGCAACACCAGCCAGGCAAAATACATATTTTTAATATAAATATTTTCTCTTTTCTTCTTTACATTATAGTTAAGAAATTAACATTTCAATATAATTCCACTAGTTAGGTGATATCATTATAAATTTCATTTCAGGACAATAAGAGAACACAAAATATTTTTTGTTAAAAAATATTGGGCCCTGGCCGGTTTGGTTCAGCGGTTGGAGTGTTGGCCTGCGGTCCTGAGAGACCCGGGTTCGGTTCCCGCTATAAGGGCGCGTACCTCGGTTGCAGTTTGTCCCCGGCCCTGGTTGGTCGTGTGGGTGGCAGTCACTCGATGTGTTCCTTTCACATCGATGTTTCTCTCTCTTTCTCTCTGTTCCTCTCTCTCCCTCCCACTCTACCTGAACAAAAAATGAAAAAATGTCCTCGGGTGAGGATAAAAAAAAAATATATATATTGGGAGCATTGAGTTGATAACCACTGATTTAGAGCATTTGAAATGTTAATATAAAAATATTTGAATGAAAAAATTCCTTTTCACATTGCAAGACAAAACAGTAGAGAGTGGTGAGCCATTTTTAAAAACATTAAGTTCACAGCCATAATTACATATAAACACTTTTATAACACTAAGTCTATTTAAATAATGTTAAATAATATCCTACAATGAAAGGGCAAAGGCAAAACTAAAATGTATTGGAAATATTCCTATTCTTCAAAGTAAACTCAAATAAACTGGCATGTAGCTACATCCTAGCTGAGGTCAGAGAAACAAATTCTTAGTCCCACAACAAAGCTCTGGGAGTCAGAAGGGAGGTTCTATTGTCTTTGATCTTTCGAGCTCTTACCTCTTTTAGGATCCCTGTGTGCTTCGATTTTGCTTTTAGAATTTTCTGAAATTCTTCAGATTCCAGGTAGGCAAGCTGTTCTCTCCTTTTTTTTCTGGCAGGTTCCAGTTCATCCTCAGCTAGAGCAGAAAGAAAAAGCATCAGCTGGTACAGCCCAACTACTACTGTCAGAAAATAGTGTGCCTCATTGACTCAGTTTCCTCCATTCTGTCAGCTTCTGCCCACCAGGCCTTTCAAACTTAATTCACCCCACTAGCTACCAGCAGAGGAAGGTGAGCTAAGAAGTAGAAACTAGAATATGGGAGGTAGCAAATTTAACCACTAAATTAAAATCTCTTTTTCGCCTTAATACAGGTGCTGATTATAAGAGATAACAACAAATATCCTATTTACAAACTGATGTTAAAATGACATTGCCATGGTCTTTTTGCAGAGTTTTAAAAATAAAAACAGGGCAATTCTAAACAAAGGAATTTTACTTCTTTCAAAGTAAACCTTTATACTAACATGTAAGTACAAAGATCCAATCAGTAATCCTTTTCTCAAGTTTTCAAATTATGCATAATTTCAATTTAATACAAGTGTATAAAACACAGTTCCAGTTGCGGAAATTCAATTTAGGTATTCTACCTAGAGGTAAACTGATGTAAAATAACTTCCTATCAGGAACACCGGCTATGGCTTAAATATTTCCTTCTCTTTCCTACTGTGAACTCTGATATCTGGAGTACCTTGAGAAGAGAATGTGGTATTCTTTTCCACACGCGCCTTCACTTCCAGGATATCCTGGGGGTCACTTTGCTTCTTTTTAATGCTGTTTGGATTTGTTTTTGAAAGAATTTGTCCTTTTGCCCTTAATTTGGTTATAGCAGCTAACTAGAAAAAAGAGAAGAGAGGGAGATAAAAAAATCTAAAAAATGAGAAAAGCCATCTGTAGCTCTGTACCCCTTTCCAGTTATTAACCAATGAAGTCTGTCAGCTCTCAAATATAAATTGGCAAAATATATCTTCATTGTATTTTGCATTATTATAATCATTAAACTTTAAAAGCATGAGACAGGTCTATAACTTAGTAAATAAAGTCTCAGTTTATTTAAATATCATTAGGTTTAACATTGGCTAGTCTGTAGGCTTCTAGACCCACAGAGGAAGCACATGAACATTTTGGAAGTTTGTTTTAAAACCAGACAGAATAAGGATAGGATAGAATTCCAGCTCTGTCACTTACTGATTTGTAACATTTACAATTAGTTACAACTGTTCAGCCTCAGTCTCTACATTTATAAAATGGGGATGATAGCATTTCTCTACCTTTTAGAGTTGTGTGAATGACATGAGGTAATGCATGCAAAGCATGCACCTGGACACAGAAAATAGCATGTACACATCTACCACAGGTACAGAGTAATAGTGATGAAGACGTGCAATTATTATTAGTGTGGGTACGGCTTTGGCTTCTAGCTCACCTTTGCCTTTCATGTGGTTCTGGCTGCTAATTGAGCAAAGAGACACGGCTGGAGACAGGGTGACTCAGGAAGGGGAGTGGTGAAAAGTGCTGAGCAGTGGGGTTCTAAGCACCCCCAACTCCCACTTCAATCAGAGCCACTTGGTTTTTATGTCTACAGACTGGGCTTCTATGTAAGATTTCTTTCAAAGGATTCTTTAAACCACTATTTTACTATCTTGCCTCAACAACTCCAAGATTTGTTTCCCTAACGTCAGTGTCTCCAGTTGTGAAACAGTATCTTCTTCTAGGAGATCTCCTTCAGCCTGACACAAACGTGTTGAGATAATGGCCAATTTTCTTGGATTAAATTAATGACATTATGTTGATACCATTATAATTTAAAATTTCATTGACTTTAATTATCATGATCAATAAACAGCTGCCATGTGTCTGTCACTCCTGATTATAGGTAGTATAAAGTGTGAAACTCCAGTTATGCCTACGGAAAGCAAACTCAAACAATGAAGAAAACAAATACCAGTTACCTTTTTGGCTTCTGCTAAAGCACTCAGTTTTGGTTTTGGAGGTGGTGACTCATCAAAAAAGAGAACATTATCTCCTTCTGAGACACCTCGCCCCAGCTTGGGTGCCTGTGTGGCTGAGGTTGCTTCCAGCCTGGGGAACTTGGCCCCTGTTGGTGGAGACTGAGAAGGGGGCTGCTGAGAAGATGATGGCACAGCTGGGCTCACGACCTCATTGGAGCTTTGCAAAAATCTTTAAAGAAATATGTAGTCACAAACTCTGTAAGCACTAAGTAACAGACGGGAGACTGCAGGTAGGTCACCAGCTGATATACAGTTGTCAGTAAAATAATTTCCCTTTCCTGATTAACAATTCAGATTAGCATGCTATAAGAAGAATGCTAGTTTCTTTAACTCTTCAGTTGTCTGATTTTTTCATTGAAAAAGCTCCAACTGTTTTACCAGTTTAGAACTGATTACTGTTTTTATCAATTGGCTTGTCAGTGGGTGCTATCTATAGAACACAGCCCTCAAGGTGGGCTATGAACTATATATTCCTAGCCATCTGGTTAGTGTAGGATCTTTAGGAACTCACCATCTCTCTCTGTATTTTAGTTTTCTCTACTGGGAAGAGATAACTTGTGATTAATTTGGAAGCCTTTAACAGAAAGGTTCTATAATTTACAGGGTGAATACTTTTTTTTTATCCTCACCCGAGGACATTCCTTGACATTTTGTTCAGATAGAGTGGGAGGGAGAGAGAGAGAGAGAGAGAAACATCGATGTGAAAGGGACACATGACCCAAACAGGGCTGGGGACAAACCGTAACCAAGGTTTGTGCCTTAGTGGGAACCGAACCCGGGTCTCAGGGTAAATGCTTTACATAGGTTAAAGAGCTATTTAAAAACAACAAAACATCAGAAATCCTCTAGTCCAAACCTCTCACCTTATAGATGAAGAAACTGAGGCTCAAGACCCAATTGTGCATAGTGACAGGCTCAGGATTAGTACAAGGTAATTCAAGGCTAGTATTCTTGTCACTATCACAGGCCCACTCTCGCCAGCTCCAGGCCAAGCCTGCAAACTGCATATCACATCCTGCCCAAAGATACGTTTAACTTGTTCAGCAAAATTCTGAAAAACTACAAATTATAATGCCTTTACACCGACAGGTGCTCTCTTATTTCCCATAAGGTCCACAACTCCATATATATATTTTGTGTGTGTGTGTGTGTGTGTCATGTGTTGGCACATGATGAAAACCTCTACATATACCCCATCTGCACTTCACAGATTATTGTAAGGACTAAATGAGACACTGTGAATAACAGTGCTTGCTATATGTTAAGCACCTATAAGTAGTAGGTCTTACTTGAGCTAAAGAATCTTTGGGATGTTCACCTAATAAATTATATAATGCCTAATCACTGGGTTGTACACTGAAAACTTAATATTGTATGTCAACTGTAACTGAAAAATAAGAAAAAATAAAAAATTATTTAAAGTTATAAAAAACAAAAGGATCTTTGATTTGTTTACCTTCCATATCCATTTCCACTTGATTTTGCCACTTGATAATGATTTCATTTTCAGTGTCTCATTTTTATCATTTACCTCAAGAACTACAAAATCTACTCACTGGCTCAGGCAGTAATTAAAAACCTAATTGTGGCAAACTAAGAAACAGGAGCCAAACGGGTCAACACACGCTTCCCCCTTCCACAGACCCTTTTCAGATGGCATTCCTTTCTCTTCCACAGTGATATTAATTACTGTAACTTGCATCATTCAGTCTCAGGATTTGCTAACCTAAGTCAGAAATATATAACTTTAAATGCTATCTATTTAGGTTATGCTCAAATTAGTGTAACACTTTCAAAGTTAAAAAGGCAGCCAACCATCCAAAATCTAAAGTGCATTTTTGAAACCTCTGAAGACATTCTGAGGATTCCTGAGATGAGTTATCCAAGCAGGGATATTAAATGTTACTCTTACCGTTTCTTGATTTCTTCTGATTTCTTTCTCCTCATCTCCAACATATGCTGCTTCTGTTGCTTCAGGAGGGCTGATGCAGAGATAGACTGAAAGGTAGGTTTTGGGCTCCCCATGATCCCTAAAACACAAGCCACAGATTGAGGGGGTCCTGAGAGGCAGTGGGAACTCAGATATGAATGCTAAGCAGGTGCAAGCTAACTACCTGATGACTTGGTTTTGGCTAAATGTTGTTTCAAGTTTCTGGCTCCAAATGTAGGCAAGTCCATCAATTCTCTGAATTCCTCAGAGCAAGACAAGCTCTTCTGGGCTATTTCTGGAATATAAACATCAGCTTTAGAAGATTTGAAATTTAGACTGTTTGATGTCATGTGGTTATTTTTATTTTTAAAGATTAATTAATTTATTTTTGTTACAGATGTTTCTCTCATGTAACTTTTAAACTCTGCCTTCATAACTTAGTCATTTGTAAATGAAGTACATGGAATACCAAGAGAAAAAAAGGATCTTTAACCTCTAACATCAGACTAGTAGGACTGCAAGAATATGGTAAATATAACTTATTTTGAGTAATGATTAGAATGCTCATATTTGCGGGGCCACTTGATACACTATTTCTGGAATATGCATTATGGACAAGGATCCACAGTAGGCCCTGACCACTGTTATGAATAAAGTCCCAAATGAAGGATGAAGGCAGCATTTTCTGACCTAGACCTGTTTTAACGCAAGATAAAGGATGGGTCTGACAGGAATGTGATACTATTTATTCTAATATTGGACATTAAGAGGTAGACCCAGATATATCAGGAAATTTTAAAAAGTACACTAAGCTAAGAAACAGCCAAGATTAATATGCTGTTTTTTCTTAAGATGCTGCCAACTAAGCATGATTCCTTCAACTTAGGCCATATTGCTCGCTGAGACAGTGATGAGTGAATATTTATAATTTAGAGTACAAACTGTGACCATTTTCAATCCTATAGACTACACATTTAAGCCGGAGAAAGAAATGTAGTCTTGAGAAACAAAGTTACCGAGTTTTTGTTGAGTTTCCTGAATGATCAAATCTGTGCCCTTCACAACCAGATTAGTCAGAGTGGTTTGAATCTTCTTTTTAGGAGCGGTAGCTGCAGCCCTGTAATGACAAAAGTCAACCTCAAAAGGAAATCACTGAACTTCAGTGCTCTGATGAAGTGAGGAAGGCACTGACGTACTCATATTACAAACTACCAAAGTTCCTTAAAACAGCACATAACTAGACTTTCTTAATACCATGAACCTACAGCATAACTGGTGAAAACATTATGTTATAGGTGTAAAACAACAGCAACCTGAAAATTTGCTTAAAGCCATGTGGAAGGATAATTTGGCAAAAGAAATAAAAAATATGCCAACACTTTAGTCACATAGTCTAGGAATTTATCTTAAAATAATTAAAGATTATGCATACCCTGACTGGTTTGGCTCAGTGGTTAGAGCGCTGGCCCGCGGACCAAGAGTCACGGGTTCGATTCCGGTCAAGGGCATGTACCTCGATTGTAGTTCGGTCCCCGGCCCTGGTCGGGGTCATGCGGGAGGCACACAATTGATATGTCTCTTTCACATTGACATTTCTCTCCGTCTCTCCCTCCCACTCTGTCTGAAAATAGATGGAAAAGTATCCTTGGGTGAGGGTTTAAAAATAATTAAGGATTATGCATAAAACAGGGTATTAAAAGCTTTGTTATATTAAAAATTAGAAACGCTATTAAGGTTTAGCCATAGGGAGTTGCTTAAATTATTGTAGAGCCATGTAAAACAATACTATGTAGCCACTAAAAATAATGCCACAAATATTTGATAAAGAAAACATTAATTACTTTGTGTTAAAAGAAGTTATAAAGTATAGAAACAGTATGATTTCTTTTTTTTTTTTAATCCTCACCTGAGGACATTTTTGCATTCATCTTCAGATATAGAGTGGGAGGGAGATGGGAGAAAGAGAGACAAAGAAACATTGATATGAGAGAGACACATCGACTGGACTGGTTGCCACCCACACAACCCCAACCGGGGCTGGGGACAAACTGCAACCGAGGTACATGCCCTTAGTGGGAACCGAACCCGGGACTCTCTGGTCCGTGGGCCGACACTCTAACCTCTGAGCCAAACTGGCCAGGACAGTATAATATCATTTTAAATCACTAAAAATGTATACATAAGGAAAAAAACAACAACAAAAAAACTATCTAGAAGCATATATAACAAGGAAGGAACATATACATACATATTTCTAAATAATATGTATTGCTTTTTGCAGTTTGAAAAAACATAGTGATTTTTTAAAATTTAAAAACGAACTTGATATTACGAAATAGCAGAAAGCGAGAGTACTCTTGCCCAATTTCTGTTGGACATGGAACAAAATCTACACTTTGTTCTTGGATAAACTGTAGCTCCCTTGTGCCAGGTCCCCAGCTGTCACATCCTCAGATGTGCTTTTCACAATAAGGGACAAGGTCACTGATCACCTACTTCAGGGGCTCTGTGGAGAAACTGATATCCCCAGAAAAGAGGCCACAAACACCTACCTCTCCTACCCCTTAGTGAAGCTGTACTGCATATTCGTTTGCTGAATTAAATATGGATTTCAAGAGGTCTGCAATCTCACTCTAACCATGAGGGAAATGATTTAAAGGATGTCAACACAATGATTAACAATCTTTTAACTGCCAAACAATCAGCCCCTGACAAAGTTCCACTATTCACCTCAGAACCCAAACAGGAAGCATGGCCTTTCTGTTAGAGACCATCAACACATGGCTCAATTTCTCCCTGTTCTGTGGATATTCCTCTCTACCTTGTTTTAGGGAGTGAGTTATTAAAGCTAAAATCTGTACAAGTCTTCTAGGCCATTACAGAAATGTATAATCATTAGGTTCATTCCTATAAGACAAGTAAGATCCTGCTCCCAAAAGCAGACCAAGAATGTCTTACATTGAGGCTGCATAAGATGCTGAAGAAACTCCTCCATAGTAAAAACCATCCTGACACAACCGTTCTTTCAGGCTGATTCCTTTGCTGGCAAACTTCTTTGGAATGCGCCCTCCTGAGAAGGTGGACTGCAAGTCAGCTCGCTTGGCACTGAGCTTCTTATACTGGGCCTGGATGTGATACTGACAGTACTCACAGTCCTTCTGCAAAAAGGAAGAGAGGCTGCCTCAGAATTAGGGTTAATACACCAGAAAACAATATAAATACACAATCCCTTTCTCCCAGCTTTGTGGGACACCATTCTTTGTGCAGAGCCCTCCCTACTCACCTCCAAGGCAATTTATAAGATGCAGCCATGCAGTGACTAAAGGAAAGTTCCCTTAAATTCCAATTAAAACACTAATCACTGGAAGAAAAAGGCCACATATTGTATGGTTCCTCTTATATCAGATATCCAGAGCAGGCAAGTGCACAGAGTCAGGAAGCAGGTTAGGGGGTCACCAGGAGGTGAAGGTGAGAGGGATGAGGGGTGTTTTTATGGGGTGATGAAAAGGTTTTGAAATTAGAGAGAGGTGGTGGTTGCACAACAGTGGATATACTAAATATCACTGAAATGTACATTTAAAATGGTTAATTGAATTATGTGAATTTTACCTCAATAAAAACTAATTTTAAAGGTAAGACAAATCATCTTCTAGTGAGATTTTTCTATTTCTCTGGTTGACACTTGGACAAATGCTACTCAGTGAAAGGAACAAGAGAAACAGCATACTATTGTTCTATGGGGCGAGCCCTTAGATATGGTAACAATGAAGTTCTAGCTCTTATGTGGGGATCTTCAGATAATTCACTGAGACCTCTTTTTCCAACTATCCCTCCTTTATATTTCCTACTCACTAGTTCATCTGTGAGGCAGGAATGAGAAAAATAAAAAGAAATGAAACCAAAACTTGTCATTTAGTCCTTTCAAAGAGTTCCAAGATGTGCCACTTCACACCCACTAGGATGGCTGTAATCAAAGACAGATCAGTAACAAGTGTTGGCTGGATATGGAGAAAGTGCAACACTCACATACTGCTGGTGAGAATGTAAAAGCCATTTTGGAAACCAGTTTGGCAGTTCCTAAACATAGTTACCATAGGACCCAGAAATTCCACTCCTGGTATATACCTAAGGGAACTGAAAACATACATCTACACAAAACCTGTATATGAATGTTTACAGCAGCATTTTGTATAATAACCAGAAAGTAGAACCAACCCAAATGTCTACTTATTGATGAATACATATGGTTATGTCCATACAACGGATTATTCAACCATTAAAAGGAGTGAGGGCTGATGAATGTTATACCATGAAAGAACCTTGAAAATATTATGCCAAGTGAAGAGAGCCAGACACAAAAGGCCACATATTGTATGATTCCCCTATATCAGTGATTTTCAACTGCTGTGCTATAAGAATTTTTAAAACATGTTAATACCTGACTATTCAGTCAAGGGCACTAATCTCTTTTCCCTTAGATTGTCAAATAAAAAATGGCTTGCAGAAGCATGGATGAACCTGGAGAGCATTATGTTAAGTGAAATAAGCCAGTCAGAGAAAGACAAGTACCATATCATTTCACTCATATGTGTGGATGCTAATAAACACAATGAACTAAAAAGCAAAATGGCCCAGGCTGGTTTGGCTCAGCTATTAGGAGCGTTAGCCCATGAACCAATGAGTCACAGGTTCAATTCCGGTCAAGGACGCACGCCTCGGTTGCGATTTGTCCTCGGCCTTGGTCAGGTTGTGCAGGAGGCAAAAAACTGATGTGGCTCTATCACGTTGATGTTTCTCTCTCTCTCTTTCCCACTCTATCTAATGATAAACAGAAAATGTCCTCGGGTGAGGAATAAAAAATAAATAAAAATAAAAATAAAAATCAAAACAGACTCATAGAGAGCAGGCTGACAGCTGTTGGGGACGAGGGTGGGGGTTGGGAGGCGGGGTGGAGGATGGTGAAGAGATTGAGCAAAAAAGAAAAAAACTCATGCACAAGGACAACAATGTGGTGATTACCAGAGGGAAAAGGGGGATGGGTAGGTAGACAAGAGTATAGGCGGATAAATGGTGATGGAAGGAGACTTGATTTGGGGTGGTAAACACAATACAATATATGGATGATGTACTATAGTATTATACACCTAAAATCTATACAATTTTATTAACCAATGTCACCCCAATAAATTCAATAAAAAAGAAGGAAAAAAAATGACAACAGTCAACACAGTAACAGCTGTCAGGTGTGAATGAATCAAAACTATACCTATGCCCTGGCCAGCATGGCACAGAGGTTAGTGTGTCACCCCATGCACAAGAGTATTACTTTGGATTCCCGGTCAACAGCACATACCTGGGTTGTAGGTTCAATCCCTGGCCCTAGTTGGGGCTCATGAAGGAGGCAATCAATCGATGTGTCTCACATCGATGCTTCTCTGCACCCCTCTACCCTTGCTTTCCTTCCTCTCTCTTAAAAAAAAAATCATTGGATGAGGACTAACAACAAAAAAATTATACCTATTTTTTTTTGTCAGATCAGCAAAAAATATTTTTGGTGTACTGCAGAATTCTAGTATTTAGTTTAAGTGTGCCATGAGATAAAAAAAAAAGTCGAAAATCGCTGCTCTAGATGAAATGTCCAGAACAGGCAAATCCACAGAGATAGAAGGTACATTAGAGCTTACCAGGGGCTGGGTGAAGGGGGGGAATGGGGAGTGACTGCTAATGGGTATGAGTTTTTTTTGAAGGGGCAGTAGGGGTATTTAAAATGTTGTAATATTACATAGTGATGAAAGTTGCACAACTCTGAATATATTAAAATTATTAAATTATACACTTTAAAAAAGTGAATCGTAATGGTAGGTGAATTATGTCTCAATGAAGCTCTAAAAGAAGGTATAATAAAATTAAAGCTAAACTAAGGTTTTCAGTGTATTTCATCACAGCATTTGGTCTCTGGCACCTGGTAAGAGTTTAGAATTGAGGATGAACTAAAATTTTGTTTCTTATACCTCCTAGTCAGCTGGCAAAGAAGATCAGTTTCCTAAGAGGTTAAATCCCTGCCCTACTCTCAGCTTTTCAAACTGGCAATTATTAACCATATTGAATTTCCTCACTTTGATGCTTCCTGTCATGTAGAAAACTCAGTTCCAAAGTGGTCGTTACCACTAAAGTAGCTACAATTTATTCCTATTAATTCCTTTCTGTAGCAGAAAACATCCTAGCAGAGCTGAAACCAACCAAATTGACAGTCTGTGTACATGGTTCTCCACTCTTCTTCTTTGCTTTACAGGTTCCCAGGTCAAGAGCTTCACCCATAATTAAGACCTTTTGAGGATGATCAATAGATAAGCACACCTGCAGAAATGAAGTAGAATGGGAGTTAAAAGCAGATGAAGATATGATCTTTATCAGCTAGAATAGAAAACAAAACAAAACGGTTAGTGTAAGTTAAGAAGGCTTTGTCAGTCTGCAGCGGTTCTCAAGCTGTGGATCGTGACCCCTTTGGGGGTCAAAGGACCCTTTCACAGGGGTCGCCTAAGACATAACAGTAGCAAAATTAGTTATGAAGTAGCAACGAAAATACTTTTATGGTTGGGGGGTCACCACAACATGAGAAACTATTAAAGGGTCACGGCATTAGGAAGAGTGAGAACCACTGGAAAGGAATTTAAAGCTGGTGTCCTCTAAAAGAGTTTTAGGAATGGGAGGTACAGAAGACATTTAGTTTTCTACCCAGTATCCACCCTTTCCTGTGTCTTTGCTCTCAGAATCTTGATTTTATTTGGTTTGGCAAATGCTGAGCATAGGTTATTGAATTCTGTTCCCAGTTTTCCCAGCACCCTTATAGCTAGCAATGGTCATGTGACTATATTCTGACCAGGGAGATGAAAGCTGGGGTTGGTACAGAAGTTAGCTGGGGAAGCTTTTGCTTTATTTACTAAAAGCAGATAGAGGAGGTTGGCTCACTTTCTGCCTTGAATGGAGAGGTGATGGCAAGAGCTTCAAAGCTATCTTGTGACTAAAAGGAAAATGCTGAGACTCGCAGACACTGGTCCTAGTATCACTACTCTGCCTATGCCTAGTTTTTTTTTTATTTTAATGTGAGAGAAGCAAACCCCACGGTTTACTGTTAAAAAGAAACTATAGTCAAGTTTTCTGCTACTTGTAGTCAAACATATTGAAACAGGTAAAGATTTGTTGCCATTCTCTGATAACAAGGAATCAAAAAACTTTATCTCTCACTCCTCCTGATAATGATCATCTGTCTACAACAAAGTATAAAGTGTAGCTTCTTGCTGGGTCAAATGAAGAAACTGTCCAATTCATACTATATTTAGTTTTACAATTTACTAGAGAAGCAGTAGGTAGTGACAAAACTCTAATGATGCTTAAGATAAAAATTCACTTTAATTCTAAGTTGCAACTATAGTTGTACTAATCAGTGGAGTGAAGTCCTCTCAACTATGAAACTATAAAACCTTGCCATCTTGATACACCATGCAAATCTGAAGCTGAGCTAAGGAGATCTGAGCATAAGAGTTCAAAAAGCTCTAGGAACCTTGGAACTAGTTTTAAAAGATATAACAACAGAAGTTGATACAAAACACTTTAGAGTAGATGGAAATTCAGAATACTGGTAGGTGAGGAATGAACACACAAACAAAAAATCGTATTACCATTCAAGACGGCAGCCAACCACGGTCTGAGGTGGCCGTGGCTGTTACTGTGGAGATTGTGGCCGACTCAGGGCCTTCCACAAAACCGAGTATCGTCCTTGGTCCTAGAAGCGAGGACTTATTCCCAGGGCGACGGCACATACTCGCGCACGGCGTTGTACGAGCTTCTCGGTGTCCCCTCCACGGCCACGCAGGCCCAAATCAAGGCTGCCTATTACCGGCAAAGCTTCCTCTACCACCCAGACCGCAACTCTGGGAGCGCCGAGGCCGGCGGAGTGCTTTACACACCTCTCTCAGGCATACGGGTGCTGGGTAGTGCCACCCTGCGCCGCAAGCACGACTGTGGCCTGCTCAGCGACTTGGACCTGCGCGGACCTGGTGCCCGTCCCTCCACGACTCCCTCAGCGGAATCCGCCAGCTCCGCACCCGCTGCCCGCCCCTCATACCCACTGTTCAACTTTGACGCCTTCTACCAGGCACATTACGGAGAACAGCTCGAGCGGGAACGCCGCCAGAGGGCCGGGCGTGAGGCCCTTCGCAAGCAGCAGGAGCATCGGGCTAAGAAGGGCTTCCACTGGGACGAGATCCGAGACACCACTTTAGTCTTTTCTCCTCACAATCATCATCATAATGGGCATTCACTTTTAATTGGAACGAGATGGGAAGGGGATCAGCCCCCAGCCAGACCCCAGAAAATGGCCTTTCCTGCCTTGAACCCTTCGCTTTCCAGAGTCTACCTCTGCTGGGGTCTGAAGGAACTGCTCTTCCATTCCTCTTCCCCACCCGCCCAACTTAGCCTTTGACCTGCACATCCCTCCCCCTGCGGTCCAGAAAAGGAGGCTTTTCGATGCCCAAGAAGGAGGCTGCAAAATGAAGAGCCCTGAAAGCCCGAGAGGAAAGGGTTTTCTGGAATCCTTTGGGTGCCTGCTTCCAGAGTTGCCTTCCTGATGTCAACTTCTGGAACACTTGCTCCAGAAGTTGTATTGTAAAGCTCTGAGCAAGAATTGTGTGCTCCTGCCCCATGTTTGTGCCATGGGGCTCTGTAACCTTGAAACGTGCAATGTGACCAATTGTTGGTGCCAAAAGAGAAATTCTGAGGTTGCAAAAACAACAAAAAAATCATTACTGGAAATATAATAACATAAAAGCATGATTTATTACCTGAAAGTAGACCAACACAAATCTTGACAGAATTTGACTATGTTGCAAAAGCCCTGCCCCTAGTAATCATGGAAACAGTCTTACCTCCTTTGAACCATCCTTGGGCTTCATGGGGTTAGCATTGAGTAGCCCTATGACGGTACCCTGTTCAGTCTTCCAGAGTTCTTTGTGAACTTCTCCAAACAAGAACAATGACACATACTGCGTCAGGTCGCGAAGATCATTCAGTCGCCAGATGCTAAATGTTTTTCCCTGGAACAAATGTTTACCCTTAATTTTAATGGTTTTTTATTTTTTATTTATTATTATTATTTTTTTATCCTCACTCGGGACATTTTTCCATTTTTTGTTCAGATAGAGCGGGAGAGAGAGAAAGGAAGAGAGAGAGAGAAACATCGATGTGAAGGGACACATCGAGTGGCTGCCACCTGCACGACCAACCAGGGCCAGGGAAAAACTACAACCGAGGTACATGCCCTTAGCGGGAACCAAACCCGGGTCTCTCTGTTCCGCAGGCCGACGCTCCAACCGCTGAGCCAAACCGGCCAGGGCTAATGGTTTTTTAATAATGGGTCACACTGTCTCCATTTACGGTTCGAGTGTTCCATTGCAGAAAAACATGTAAGTATAATCCATCCCGACTATATAATCATCAGAATGTCTGTTAATTATAAATTAATTCTTTCTCTAGGCTTTAGTACTACTCTTCTCATTTAAGAGATGAAGGTGAAGTTAAGGTAAGCCTGTAGCAAACTTCTTACTAGAGTCTCTAATATCAGGTCTAAGTAGTAAATGGGATAGCATTGCCTTTCTAATCTTTGTCTCACTCAATCTCTCTCTCTCTCTCTCTTTCTCTCGCATAGCATTTAATAACTTACTGGTATAAATTTGGTAACTCTTATCACTAATTATATTATTAATATTAATGAGGTTTCAGCTCTATGCTTCTAAATCTCTGCTTAACTGAGAAGGAAAACAAAAGCATCATTTAAAGAAAACTGGTTGCATTTAACTGCAAAATTTCAGAAGCATTATTAAATATCTGAAGAAATGCAACTCAAAATCCTGACCAATTATAATATAAACCTCCACGCTTACAGATTTTTAAGAAACAAAATAATGTAAATAATACCAAACAAAGCTCTTTCACAAAGTCATCCCAGAGTGGGTATGGTTATAGGTTATTGTGAGTTATTGCCTTGACTTAAGTATTGTAATTATTTTTCCATGGATTTGTACAATGTCTTTATTGGAAGAGTTCATGTAAAATTTCACACCTATTATCTCAATGTTATTATACCCAGTTGCAATACAATTAAAAACTTAATCAAATAGAAACCAGACTTATTCATGTTTACCTAGACAGAACAGGGCTAGGGAAGGACTCAGAATCTAAAACTGAACTCCTGGTGTCAGAGTTCGTAAAAAATAATCTAAAGTTTGCCAAGCTCTAAATTAGAGAATAAAATCAGTACTGAGCATGAATAATCACAGTATTTGAGCAATGGGAGGGGCTTACCACATAAACAAACAAAAGCCAGTTCCTTCATTTTACAGATAAGGGAGGTCCTTAAGTAAGTAAGGGCCACTCTGTGGTCACATAGCTAGTTAAAGGAAGAAGGAGGCTTAGAACCCAGATTTTCGGAATTGCCAGGCCAAAAAAGAATTTTTCTGTTACACCTCAGTCAACTGCAATTTTAAAACTTGTTAGATCTTTTGTAATATCCATCACATTAAATATACCACACTGTGCTGGCACAGGTCAGTAATTTCAGAACTGTGATTAAAGTCTTACATCTAGTAAGGCTCTCAAAGGATCTGTGAACTTGGCCTCTTTGATTACCTGCCCCAGTCTTCCATAAAAGGGACTACAGTATCAGGGGTAACCATGTGTCCCCAACACAATGACCAGGGAAATGCAGTGAGAATTATGTGGGCAATGAAGAGCCCAAGAAATATATTACCCAGATCTTTTTTAAGTAAAGCATTCTTCACACACACACACACACACACACACACACACACACACACACCTGAAATACCAACCGGCAACTTGAGAACTTGCTAGCAATTATTTCAAAATGAAATACTGATGGGCTCTGGGTAACAAATCAAGAGCACGAGTCCCCACTGCCAGTTTGTGATGAAGCAGCTAAGAAATCAATAAAATGCCAATGACAGATCTGATAAGGGGTTAATTTTCAAAATATATAAAGAACTTACACAACTCAACACCAGGAAGACAAACAATCCAATTAAAAAATGGGCAAAGCAGCTGAATAGACAGTTCTCCAAAGAGGACAAATGGCCAAGAGATATCTAAAGATGTTCAACGTCACTAATCATCAGAGAGATGCGAAGTAAAACAACTGTGAGCTATCACCTCACACCTGACAGAATGGCTACCATCAACAAATCATCAAACAAGTGCTGCCAAGGACGTGGAAAAAAGGGAACCCTAGTACACTACTGGTGGAAATGCAGACTGGTGCATCCACTGTGGAAAACAGTATGAAGTTTCCTCAAAAAATTAAAAATGGAACTGTCATTTGACCGAGCAATCCCACTTCTGGGAATATATTCTAAGAATCCCGAAACACCAATCAGAAAGAATATATGCATCCCTATGTTCATAGCAACGTTATTTACAATAACTAAAATTTGGAAACAGTCCAAGTGCCCATCAGTAGACGAATGGATAAAAAAGCTGTGGTACATTTACACAGTGGAATACTATGTGGCTATAAAAAAGAAGGATCCCTTATTGTTTGCAACAGCATGGATGAACCTGGAGATTATTATGCTAAGTGAAATAAGCCAGTCAGAGAAAGACAAATATCACATGATCTCACTTACATGTGGACTCTAGTGAACAAAATAAACTGAAGAAAAAAATAGGTCCAGAGGTATGGATTCATAGAACAGACTGATCTCAGAGTGGAGTGGGTGGGAGGAATAGGAAGGGATTAACCAAATATATATGCATATATGCATAATCCATGGACAGAGACAATAAATAGTGTGGTGAAGGCAGGGAAGAGAGGGGAAAATGAGGGACATCTGTAATACCGTCAACAATTTAAAAAACAAAACAAAACAAAATCAATAAAATGGCTCACACTATTACAGCTCTGCGGAGTGACTTTCTTCAATATAACCCCAAATGTCACCCAGTCTATTTCTTCCAGCTTCTCACTTGCCATCTTTTCCTTGAGCTGAGACAGTCTGATCAGTTTTCGACCAGTCATTTTCTTGTTCATTTCTGTGGAGGACACTCGAGGCCGTCTGGGACAAGAAATCAGCAATTAGACTATCAGTCTAAATAACAGATTATCTGGCACTGTAGCAGGTTGGTTAAAAGAGGTGCTATAGACATAAATATCTGATAAACCTGTTTTCAAGGAGGTATGATTATATAATATGGACTAGGCGAACATATTTATGGCAGATAAATAAAAATAATACAATTTTTAAAACTAGGTTTGTGCTTCCTTGGAATTGGGGCTTATATAGAAAATAAAAAAATCACAAATTCTTTAAGTTAATATCAATTATGTTATATAATATCCTTTAAAAATGTCTTCTGACTTTAAACAATGTCATGAATTGGTATATATATAAATAAGATATTTAAATTTCCTCAGTTCTTGCCATTTGACCCAGTGACCCCACTTCTTGGAATATACCGTAAGAAGCCTGAAACACCAATCAGAAAGAATATAGTACCCCCATGTTCGTAGCAGCACTATTTACAATAGCTAAGATCTGGAAACAGCCCAAATGTCCATCAGTAGACGAATGGATAAAAAATATGTGGTACATATACACAATGGAGTACTATGCAACTGTAAGAAAGATCTCTTATCCTTTGAGATGACATGGAGGGACCTGGAAAGTATTATCCTAAGTGAAACAAGCCAAACAGAAAGACAAGTATCATATGATCTCACTTATTTGTGGAATATAATGAACATAACAGTCTGAGTAATGGGGTAATTCCAGAGACATGGAAGTGGGGTACAGACTGACAATCCCCCAGAAGAGGGGGTGGTGGGAGAGAGATAAACCACAGAACTTATATGCATGTATGCATGAACAATGGACATGGACAACAAAGCTGTGGGGAGGGTGGTGACAGGGAATCAGTGGGGGGAGAAAGGAGAAACATCTATAACAAAAATAAATTAATTTAAAAAAAGGGAAAATAAATAAATAAATAAATAAATTTCCTCAGTTCTGCAAAAATTGCACTGGTTCTACTATTTCTAATCAGATTTTTGTAAGCCAATATTTTTATATAATAAATAAAGGCTTTAACTTTAGCTTCAATTAATACATTCTTGTTCCTAATGACTTGGCTAAAACCTGGTAAATTTGCAAATATTTTTCTCTAGTAAATATTAGTATCTGTTCCATGTTTGATCATATTATATATTCAAAGACAAGAGAAAATACAAATAAATATGCCTTTAAACCCTGGCCGGTTTGGCTCAGCAGGTGGAGCGTTGGCCTGCGGTCTGGAGAGACCCGGGTTAGGTTCCCACTAAGGGCACGTACGTACCCTGGTTGCAGTTTGTCCCCGGCCCTGGTTGGGTTGTGCGGTGGTGGCCACTCAGTGTGTCCCTTTTACGTTGATGTTTCTCTCTCTCTCCTTCCCACTCTATCTGAACAAAAAATGAAAAAATGTCCTCAGGTGAGGATAAAAAAAAAAAAGCCTTTGATTCTTTCAGAAGTCCTCTAGAATAGCAAGTCCTAGAGCTAATTCTGAATAATAAATAATATTCTGGAGAAATCCTTTTCTTTGCCTGATTTCTGTGAGTTAGCAGGCCAGCATCAGATTACTATCCTTCGGAGTACTTTTAGGTTCTGAGGTTCAGGTACAACAATGGCAGGGACTCAAACAATTTTGCAATTCCCTACATTTGTAGGCCACTGAGAAGCTTTGGCTGAGCAGTTTCAACTATGTCTACTTTCATTCAATTCCCACGTGTATTACACATGCATCAGCAACATCTTTCATTACCTACTGGGATTGTCAAGTGGGAGCTGGTTGGGGCAGGAAGTATCATCTCAGGAAGGACATGTTTACCTTGACAAAGAAGCTAAAGCTCCTCAATGAGCTTTTACTGTATTTCATCCCTTAGACTCTGTCTCAAACATAATTAAAACATCAATTTTTTAAAAAAATTTGGTGTACTGAGTCTTCATAACACACGCCTACTGTATTACTTTACATACAGTACCATACTGCAGAATGGCAGCTACTTGTTCTTCCCCTGCTTAATAAATACAATTTAAGAGCTTGGCAGTTTTAGTTTAGATTAACAAAGGTTAGGTATTCTAGAGGGGATGCACTTGGCTACTCAAAAGGACTGTACTAAAAGCAATCTGGTCTCAGAGTAAAGATTACTACTCTGCCCTGGGCTTCAAGAAAAGAAATAATGGAGTTGCAATGGAGTAGTGGTATACAGCAGAGGAGCAGAGGATTTTTAAAAGTCCAGGCTTTTCACTGAACTGATCCTGGGATTTAATCCTATTTTAACTGAATATCTTAGTTCTTCCACATAATAGGTGCAAAGAATATAAATTTAAAAGTTATTAGAAAAAAAGAGCAGTTATTTTTCTTTTTTTTAATCCTCATCCGAGGACATTTTCCCATTTTTTGTACAGACAGAGTGGGAGGGAGAGAGAGAAAGAGAGAGAGAGGGAAACATCGATGTGAAAGGGACACATCGAGTGGCTGCCACCCGCACGACCAACCAGGGCCGGGGACAAACTGCAACCGAGGTACGTGCCCTTAGCGGGAACCGAACCCGGGTCTCTCCAGACCGCAGGCGGACGCTCTAACTGCTGAGCCAAACCGGCCAGGGCGCAGTTATTTTTCTTAACATCAATCTTAAGATACGATTATCCTGGTTAAACTGTATATACCTTTATAAATTTAAAAATAGTCTTTATTAGCCCTGGCTCAGCAGTTGGAGTGTCAGCCTGCAGATCAATTAGTGGCAGGTTTGATTTCCATCAAGGGCACGTACCATGGTTGCGGTTCGTCCTGGTCCTGGTCAGGTCATGAAGGAGGCAATCAGTTAATGTCTCTCTCTCATCGACGTTTCCCTCCCCATTTATGATGATAAAGGGAAAAATATCCCTGAGGATTAAAAAAACCAAAACAATAGTCTCTACCATTGTTTCTGTCAGTTTCTGATTAAATATACTATCAATTTCATATGTATACAGGTCTATATAAATACATATAAACATGTAAAAGTCTTTCTTAAACATTTCATATGCGAATGTACTGAGCCACACATCCAGTACTCAGTGCCCCTTTGTCAAGTTCCAGAGCTACTGGTATTATGTGGACCTGCTGAACAAATACTATTTCTAAAAGGCTTAGTCCTGCCTGGCCAGTGTAGGTTAGTGGATTGAGCATTGTCCTGGACTGAAAGGTCCTGGTTCTATTCCCAATCAGGGTACATGCCCAGATTTTGGGCTCTCTCCCTAGCAGGGGGCATGCAGGAGGCAGCCAATCGATGTTTCTCACATTGATGTTTCTGTCTCTCTCTTTCTCTCTCTAAAAAATCAGTGAAAACATATTAAAAGCTCAGTCCTCAGAAAGGTGGAAGAGGCATCTGGCAGGGCATGAGAGCAGAGGGGCTGTCAGTTACTGACCTGAGCCTCAGGCCGGAGAAGGCTTCTAAGCTGACCGGCTGAGCCGTGTCCCCAGAACTCCTGGGGGCCCCTGCACCCTCATCTCTAGTCATCCCACTAGGTTTGTTCCCATGAGTCATTCGGAGCGGCTGGGAGGGTGCACCTGTCATCCTTGAAGGTGAGCTTTTGGGCTCTAGAAAACATAAGGTGAAAAGAAAACCACACTGACAACTACAACATTTTAAATAGAATTGTTGCTTTTTCCATCCATACATGCAATAACCAAATATTGAAAGAACAAAAGAAGCCCACAGATCATTTCTGTACTACCCTCAAAATGTCTGTAACGATGGAAATGTTTTATACCGGTGCCGTTCAATACGGTGGCTGCTGGTCACTTGTAAATGACTACTGTTTCTAAGGAAATGAAAGTCTAATTTAGTTTACTTGAATTTAAATTTAAACAGTCACATGTGGCTAGTGGCTGCTGTATTAGACAGTGCCACTTTCTCCACACTGTTCCTGTACACTGACATTTACCAAGTATTCACCATACATGGGGCACTGCGGTAGATTTGAGCTCTCCTTCAGAATTCCTTAACTAGTGGGTATTTATGCTTGGATCAAATTCTACCCGAAGAAAATCCAAAGTTAGCTTCCTTTCTTTTTTGTTTTATTTCATTTCAATCCATTCCATTTCATTTGTGGGGTGGGGGGAACTGGGTGGATCAGGTATTCTACTGACATGGTTACTTTTCATATTTTAGAAGTATTTGATATTGCTCCTGAAGGTCAGAATGCTTGTGTATCTACTTCCTTAATAAAATGTCACTTTCTCTTAAACCAGATTTTTGTTTACCCTCACAGAGACTTTAAATCACTGCTCCCAAGCTAGGGGCCAGGGCAACCCTGAACTTGAGACTCTCTAGAAATCATGTCCATGCACCACCCCCTCAAAACCAAACTTTGGAAGTTACCTAATTAAATACTTTGGTGATGACAAACATCCTAGGGGGATGGACACTATTAATAAGTAGATACATAAAAGATAAACTTGTTTTCAAATAAATATGAACACTCAGAGGCTGCAATTATTCTCTACTATTGTGCCATATGCCAATGCTATTCAAAAGGACCTTTTGTTTAAAACACACATGGTCAAAAAATGCTGCATCCTCTAAGCCATGTCATCTACAGACCGTTTTGTCTTCCATCTTCCAAAGAACAATCACTTTGGGCAAACTGAGGCAATACAACAAATCAACAGAGAGAGCTTATAAATCTTTTTCATCTTATTTTGTGTGCATATATGTGTACACTGAAATAGGCTTTTATTTGAATACTGTTCCAGACTCCTGGCAGAGAAATCTTTTCAAATGAATCTTCTAATTTAACACAACCTACCTTCAAATAGAACTTGACCACTTTACTTTATAAAGGAATCTGTACCTCAGTCTCACAACCCCAAGATTAAATCTCTAGACTGCGAGCATGAGAACTCAATCCAGTGGTTATATTTACTGCAGTTCAAATCAACTACAGGATTAGAGTTAAAAGAAATTTCAACCCATTAAGTATTTACTACATACCAACTCTCTACTTAAAAATCATCTAAGCACTTTAAGATGTAGAGAAAGAGTACATGATAGAGCAGATGGTTCCCATTCCCAAGAAACTTTTCTCAGTGAGCAGATGAAACAGATGCCCACCCCCCACACATACACGCACAGATCCATGCGTGTGTGCACAGTAGTACCAAAATATATTTTCAATAGAATCAGAGTAGTGAGAAACCAGGTGGCCTTGAGTACTACACCTGCAAGTGAAACTTTTGGTGTCCGAGCCACCCGCTTGATTTTTGGCAGAGTAGGGACATCAAGCTCTGCAGAAAAGCATGCCGACTCCTGAATTCTCTGAACTTTCTTCTCCTTGAGAGGGGGACGTGGAGACTTATCTACTTGATTAAAAATAAAAGAAATTGGTAAAGAAAGTTTAGAAAGGGGCTCAACAAGCAGTTTTACAAGGAATGGGATGCAGAAATAATAATTTCTTAATGATACAAATGCATACTATTCCTAGAATTATAGTCTCATTACCAGGAGATTTATGTGGACAGGTTGGACTTGCAGGCTGTTTAATTGTTGTCATTTTTAGCTGTTCTTGTAAGGACTTCATTTGCTCTTGCAACTTCCTTAATTCATCTAGGGGGAAAAATATTGACTTAAGAACCAAACCAGAAAAAATATTATACATGATGAAAGTGATGGAATTATTTTTGGTGTCCACCCATCTTTCCCCAAAACCTCAAGACCTACAATATAATCACATACTAAGAACTCACAATTAACTTTTGCATTTCAAAGAGGTCCCTTTAGAGCAGAGGTTCTCAACCTGTGGGTTGTGACCCCTTTGGGGGTCGAACGACCCTTTCACAGGCGTCACCTAAGACATAACAGTAGCAAAATTACAGTTATGAAGTAGCAATGAAAATAGTTTTATGTTTGGGGGTCACCACAACATAAGGAACTGTATTAAAGGGTCATGACATTAGGAAGGTTGAGAACCACTGCTTTAGAGAAATAAAACTTATTTCAAGTAACCAAGGCTCTAATACCAAAGCTAGTTATGACTCTGTACTACTGACAGATACCACACCTATCTACAGTTAAGTTTTTAGGAACCAAGACATTATTACATTTATTTCACAAATTGATTATCATAATTAATACAACAAATGCTTGTCCTGTATCAGAAGAAACTGACAACTACTGAATTTTATTATAAATTCAAAATATAAGAGAAGATGCCAGAAATAAGGGCACTCCTCAAAAGCTTCTGTTCAGAAATGGTCTCCTGCTCAAATAGAATGTGTAGTAGCTTTTATAGACTTGTTTGTGGTTCCATTTGCATATAAATTACAAAGTAATGTTTTTTGTAATAAGCATGAAAAGTGTTAGGGTCACCTGGCAAAGGATCAACTATAGCTGGCTGTCTCTGACACATACATGTCACTGGCTATCACTCTGTATGCTGAAATGCTGGTCTTAAGTGTTTGACGTACTAACTCTGACAATTTTTTTTTTTTTTTTTACAAAGTCATTAATCTCCACCCTTCACTCAAGAGCTATCTTGATGAAAACTGTCAGACTGGTGGTCTTCATCTAATCTAGAGAAAGCAAGTAGTCAAGGCACCTTGTAACTCTTGATTAGTTTTCCCTTGATTGGGAGCAGGAGCAGGGAGGGCTTTGTTTTTAGTTGACTGCAATGCAGGAACAACTTCTTCATCTGATAAGTCCCCCATATCTCCAAAGACAGTAGCCAAGTTTTCCTTTTGGTCTTGAGTCTTTTCCACTTCACCATCATCAGCATCCTCTGTGTAAGATTCACCGTCACCATCAGCATCGAAGAGCTCATCAAATGCATCAGGTTTACCATCATCCTGGGTCGAGGGGCGGCTTTCTTCTGAATTACAATCCAAGGATAACTCATTTTCCTCCAGCAGTGCAGTCAGCAGAGACAATTCATCTTCCTCCACTAGGGGAAAAAGAAGAAAAAGGAGAGAAAATAAGCCCACCTGAGAAGAACTGCTAATGACAAGCATAGTTAACTAAAACATTCAACATTCATAAGGCAATTAAAATGACTCTAAATTCACCATTTTTCCTGGTATAATTACTGATCTTATCTCCACCATCTCTTTCCCAAGGGATTCTCAGAGGACTCTGGACTAAGGAAGAAGGAGCCAATATCTGCTTAGTAACCACACTGGGCCAGTCACTAGGCTAGATCTTTCCCTCTATATCAAACTAATGAGACAACTTCCTACATACCAACTTCAACTCACAAGGGAGTAACTGAAAAACACAATGAATATATATTTAGGCCCTTGATGTATATATTCCCCTAGTTTTTGTTTGAGCAATTTTTAAAAAATATAGAAAGGTACACACAATTACATAAAAAGTACTCATATCCCATCACCCAGAATTAACCATCACTAACATTTTGTCAAGTTTACTTTTAGCTTTTAGTTTTTTAAAAACTAAAAAAAAGAGCCCCGGCCGGTTTGGCTCAGCCATAGAGCGTCATCCTGCGGACCAAAGAGTCGCAGGTTTGATTCCGGTCAAGGGCACATACCTAGGTTGCGGTTCATCCCCAGCCCTGGTTAGGATTGTACGGGAGGCAACCAGTCGATGTGTCCCTCTCATGTTGATGTTTCTCTCTCTTTCTCCCCCTCTCACCCTTCCCCCATTCTATCTGAAGATATTTGAGAAAATATCTTTGGGTGAGGATTAAACAAACAGAAAAACAAAAAAAAAACCTATAAACAAAACAAAACAAAACCCTTATGCCAAACCTTATCCCAGCTCCTTAGCACTATACCTCCTGATCCCCACTGCAATACTATCATAATTTTGGTATATCATTCTAGTCCATTTTTCATACTTCTAACATAAATGTATAGATACTCATAACCATTACACAGTATTTGGTTGTTTTAAAAATATTTATATAAATTATTTCACACTGTATTACTCTGTATCCTATTTTCATTCAACATTGCATGTAAGATTGATCAAAATATAAACATATACTTGTTTATTTCGAATGCTATTCAGTAGTAAGAACGCATCACATTTTATTAATTCATTTTCCAATAAAGAGCATGTGGGCTATTTCCAATTTTTTTACACTATAATCATGTATACACCTTGCACATGTGTGAGTTTCTTGAAAATATATGCCAAAGGTCAAAGTCTTAGATTTCTGGGAATGAACATTTTCCAACTTTACTAGATATTGCCAAAAGTGGTTGTATTCTCATTAGCATTGTACTCAAGTTCCATTTCTCTCTACCACCTCATCAATATCTGATGGGTCACCTAAGATATTTTGCCAATCTACTGGATGATTTAAAAAAGCAGCTCATTGTTTTGATTTGCATTGCTGGGATTACTAGTGAGGTAAAGACTTGCTTATGTTAATCGGCCAGTAGATTTCTTTTTTTGATTTGTCTCTATTCTTTGCTCATTTTTCCCCCTATTCATGGCAGTGTTCCTTTATGAAATCAGAAGCATTTAAAGGAAAAACGTCAAGAATATTTGATTCACTCCCTCACTGGAAAGACAGGAGCTGAAGTCCAGACAGGTTAGAGGCCTGCACAGGATAATGTGGTGAAACAGGGCAGCATAGGAGCCTGGGTTAGGATGGAGAGCTCTAGATCTGGAAATCAGTTTCCTTTCTACTACTCTATACTCCTATACCAGATGGGAAAGAGACAACAGCCAAAGTTAAGGCCTACAATCTAATGAAAGGGTCTGAAGCTTGAAGTCAGAGGTTGCATAAAAATTAGTTTTGAGTGCTTAATCCACAAAGACTCTAAGACTGCAAGGTGCAGAAAGAGAGAAGAGGCAATCTGACTCCCTGTGCTCCAGGAGAGATGGTCATGTCCTGGCAAGTGAGCCTCCCTCTTGATCCCAGCTGCTGTAGAGAGCACCCCCAAAGAAGAGGCCTTGGCCCACACCACTGGGAATCACAGGTGAAAAATGTAACCTTGTGGTTCCATACTCTGGTCTTGAACCCATCTTCTTTCATGAGAGCAGTAGGGCTAACCAATGATGTCTACCATCCCAGTTTACCTCAGTCATCACCAAAAATCATCTGTTTTCCCCATGTTATGTTGACCCCATCTTCCTGCCTCCTTACGCACAAACCTCTGGGATCTGCTATCGGGAACTCAGAATCTACTACCAGCAAGTTTCCCTATACACTTAGTGGATGTTAAAACAGAAATCAGGCTTCCCCTTCCATGGAATATCTTTAATTGTCCATACCTCAGAGAATACTGTCCAGCATGCACCAGCCATGCAATAAATATATGGTAAACAACTCGAGGGCCCTGATGTCTTCTTGCCTACCACTGTCACTTTGGAGCTATTAACCTTTATTCAAGACCACACAACATGACATATGACAGATTTTTTTTCATCAAGAAGCCCTCCTGGTTGCTTTTCATCTATTAAATTCCCCTGGGATGCCTCCCTCTTCCCCTTTATCTTTATTAAAAAGTCCAATCTAGCCCTGGCTGGTTTGGCTCAGCAGTTGGAGCATTGGCCTGTGGTCCAGAGAGACCTGGGTTCGGTTCCCGCTGAGGGCATGTGCCATGGTTGCAGTTTGTCCCTGGTCCTGGTTGGATTGTGTGGGTGGCAGCCACTTGATGTGTCCCTTTCACGTCTATGTTTCTCTCTCTTTCTCTCTTCCCCTCTTACTCTGTCTGAACAAAATGGAAAAATGTCCTCAGGTGAGGATAAAAAAAAGAAGTCCAATCTACTGACCCTCCTACAATAGTTTTACCATCCCTCATACCCCATTTTTCCAGTTCCCACTTTGGAATCATGTTCCATCATTATAATCACTGCCTTCTAAGACTCTTCATTGTCATGCCCTCAGGTTCCTTGACAAAATCTTTTCTTTTTTATAGTGGCATGTGTTATTAAATAAATACAAAACAAAACTAAAAATATATACAAAGTGCCCTGGCCAGTGTGGCTCAGTTGGTTGGAGTGTCACTGAAAGGTTTCAGGTTCCATCCCCGTAGGAGTGTGTATGGGAGGCAACCAATCGATGTTTTCCCTTTACATCGATGTTTCTTTCTCCCTTCCTCTCTCTAAAATCAATTAAAAAAGCATATCCTCAGGTGAGGATTAAAAAAAAATACACACAAACACACACACATATATATACAAAGTGATACATAAATGATACCTCATGTCTAAATTCAGTTCTAAAGGTCTGTAGTAACCTAATAATAAACAGCTGACTACAGTCAAGTTATAACAGGTTAAACGGTGTCTTATCCTGCTCCAAAAGTACATTATTTTTTTTGTATTCATTTTATAGCCAATTTTATCATTCATAATTCACTGAATATTTTCTATAAACTTGTCTTTATACAATTTCTAAAATTTTATGAATGTTGACCTTGACAAAATCTTAACCCAGACTAAACCCAACAGACTGCCCCCTCCACACCTGTACCCCAACTGGTGAACTTTCCTAGAGAAACACCACCATACTGTTTTAACTTTCAATATATACCAGCCAAGAACACAGAGGCATTCAATAGTGCTTAAAAATCCCCACGCTGCCCTGGCCGGTTTGGCTCAGCAGTTAGAGCGTCAACCCGTGGACCAGAGAGTCCCGGGTTCAGTTCCCACTAAGGGCACATACCTTGGTTGTGGTTTGTCCCCAGCTCGGGGATGGGGTCATGTGGGTGGCAGCCACTTGATGTGTCTCTCTCACATCATTGTTTCTCTCTTTCTCTTCCTCCCTCTCTCCTCCAGCTCTATCTGAAGATAAATGCAAAATGTCCTCAGGTGAGGATAAAAAAAAAAAAATCCCCATACTTCCCTAATACATTGCTTTCCTATTCTTCAACCATTTCAGTATCTTCTCAAACCTCTGATGCTTCTCCTCCTTCTTTCAGATGATTTTGTCTCACACTTAAAAAAGAAAGGAAGCAATCAGATCTCATCATCTTTTGCTATGAAACCTGAACATATTTTCTCTGCTTTTCCTTCTATGAAAACGAATGAAGTGTCTAGTCCTATTTATGTCCAGTTCTTCCATTCATTAACTGGATCTCATTCCTCTCAGCTCCCCAAGGATTTCAGCCTATAATCACCAGCTCTCTCTCCCCCACATCACCATCTTTTTCCATTTTCTTGAGCATTTCTCTCAGCATACAAACTCATTCTAGTGTCTCTCGTCCTACCAACTACCAGATATTTTCCTTCCCTATTAAGAGTGTAAGCAGGAATGTTGTTCAACAGTGTTAACTCTAGCACCAGGAAACATTTTTTTTTGTTTGTTACTCCTCAACTGAGGATATTTTCCCATTGATTTTTAGATAGAATAGAAGGGAGAGAGGGAGGGAGATACATCGACCCTGACTGGGGCTGTAACCCAGGTACATGCCTCTGACCAGGAATTGAACCCGAGACCCTTTGATCTGCTCCAAGCACTGAGCCAAACTGGCCAGGGCCCAGGAAACATTTTGATTTCATCTATATTGTATCAAATTGTGAGGTCATGCCAACCAAATGAGATTTTATTAGATACAATAATTTCTTAATGAACATATACCCATTCACCACTTACTTTCATGACCTTCTCATGGCAAAAAAGTATACTTTATATTACATAATAAAGTGTCCTGTAGATAATTTGATGATGTTAGGAAATAGGAAACTATCATTATACTGAAGGTGCAATCAATTTCACATATCAGTGTTGTGAATTTCAATAACATTTAATTACACATTTTTTTTTAAAAAGGGCAATGTGTAATAGATCTGGACTTAAAAAAAAAAATACAGTTTCAGACAATGAACTCAATTACACAACCAGAAAAAGAATGCATTTTATTTGTTAGCATCTCTTCATAGCCAGCAGAGTTTTGCACTGCTCCCTGGCTAAGCTCTGCTAATTACAGCAACATTATTAAATAAATATCTGCACACATTCTTGCAAAATGAACAAAACTAGAAAGAACTACAAGAATTTAAGATAGAGTTAGACTAAAACCACTTTCAACAGATTTCTTACTAAAAAATTTTAATATACTCCTCTTTAGAGGGGAGGAAGGGAAGAAGGAAAGGAGGGAGGGTGGGAAAGGGAGGAAAAGGAAGGGAAGAGGGATGGGGAAGGGAAGAGAAAAGAGATACACATTGATTTGTTGTTCCACTTATTTATGCATTCATGGGTTGATTCTTGCATGTGCCCCTGATGGGGGACCAAACCTGCAACCTTGGTGTATTGCGATGACACTAACCAACTGAGCTATTCAGCCAGGGCTAAATAGATTTCAATATTAAATGTGAACTCTGAGACTGCCTGGGTTCAAATCCCTACTCTGACCGTTTCACTTGTGACAAGTTACTAACTTTAGTCTTTCTGTATATAAAATACAATTGCTATGAGGATTAACTTAGTTAATATAATTAAGGATCCTAGAGTAGTGCTTGGCACACTGTAAGTACATGTTACCATTATTTTCAAAGAAATAGATGCTGCCAGGAGAAGAAACCCCACTTGATTAAAACAAGTAACATTCACTGACTGAAGTGAACTACTCAGACAATATTTGAGGATGGGGTAGCTATTTTCACTATTTTGCAAATCCATAGACTGAAGGGTGATTTTCTGAAAACTGCCAGGACTTACCATCCATGTTGTCTAGGGAACAGTGGTGACAGTGAATTTCAAAGGAGGATTAGGTGCCCAGGAGACAGCAGTAGTGAAGAATCTTGGCTCTGTGAAATCATCGTTGGAGAAGTCATCCTTGATTCTCTCTTGCTCACACTGCATATCCCAAAGTCCAGAATCCTAAAAATCCTAGGGTCTCTAACTGTAGAATTCATCCAGAATACGATCATTTCTCATCCTCATTGCCAACACCATCTTCCTCCTAGTATGGAAGCAGCCCTCACCTCCCCCCTTTTGGGCAAACTATGGTTATAGAAATTCAGGTGTTGTACAGAGGAGTTTGGATACTAGATTATATGGATGAGACAAAGTGTGAACAGTACTATTGTGCTATCTATTGGGGAATCTGCTGAATTGTAAACTCTTTGAGGATTTAGAAGGTAGAAACTGTCTTGTTCATTTCTATAACCAACCACCCTTTCCACCCAAAACCATGTCCTTTCCTCACCTTCATATCTAGGGCAATCTGATAAGTGCTCTGGGTTCTAGCCCCAAAATAGTGCTCAAAACTTCAACTTCTCCCCAACTTTATTGCCAGAAGCCTAATCCAAGCCATCATCAATCTTGTGCCCCAACTACGCATTAGCGTCCAGTATTGGTCTCTTTGGCAATCTGTAACCTAGTCTTCGTATAACAACCACAGTAATCTTTTAGGAACAGAAATCCGATAGTGGTATTCCTTTCATAAAAATTCTTTAATGATCTTCCATTGCCCTTAGAACAAAATTTACAAAGCCCATGAGACAACGGATACTCTTACGTACTTCCATCCTTCCTGTGCGTCCACCCCTCCCAACTTGACCATCCCCTCAGACATGTTCCAGCTCTATCTGCCTGCATTCGGCTTCCCGAACACACGAGCGCTCCCAGGCCTCAGGCTCTTTGGAAGTTCTTTCCTAGCTCCTTCTCACCCTTCAGTCTCCGCTTAACTATAAACTTGTCTAAGCCTTTCCGGACCACTCCAACTCACCCTTTTCAAGATTTTACCACACCACTGTGTGCTTGTTTGTTTTCCTTTTTAGATTGTAGGTGTCACAGGGCATATAAATAATGTTTGGAGCCCCGTACACGGCACGTAGTCGGCAATTATTAAATTATGACTTAAAAAAAAACAAACCACGAATAAGTCCAAACGACATGCACCTGGCAAGCATTTTAAAAGTTACTTTAAAAAAGAAATCACTGCCCTGGCCGGTTTGGCTCAGCGGTTGGAGCGACGGCCTGCGGACTAGAGTCCTGGGTTCGGATCCCACTAGGGGCACGAACCAAAAAAAAAAAAAAAAAAAAAAAAATAGATCACTGGTCCCTTAAAGTAAACGGAACCTCACGACGAATTTCAGAAGGGCCGGCAACTGCGCAGCCCCCGGACCTCCCGGTGGCGCCCGCCCGGCGCTGTCCCGAGGCCGTCCCCGCTTTCGTCTCACCCACGCGCTCCCTGATCCCGGAGCTGTCTAACCTCTACCGCACACAGGCGGCCCCTTTCTCCCGTGCGCGGCGGCCCCTTTCTCCCGCCGCCCGAGGGCCGCTCACTCACCCAGTTCCGCTTCTTACTCGGTTCGGCAACCCTTCCCGAGCTACAGCCAGACCCGCCAAAATTCCACTTTGGCTCCACCCCGTCTCTGACGCTAGACGCACGCCTACGCACGCCTACTTGGGATCAAGCTGATTGGCTGCGTCAGAGCTCTAGGAGGAAACGACCCGGGGGGGAGGCGTAAAAAAAAAAAAAAAACCCTAGCCTTGCGTAGGGCAATCTGATTGGTTCACGTGACCGGCGCCCTCTTTGTTGGGGGCAAGGGGACTTCCGGTCGGCGAAGGCCTAGCCACCTTGAGGTAAAATAAAGTGTTTTGGTGCCCTCCAGCGCCGCGAAGTGTAAGTATTCTCTAATGGTATTTTTACTTAAGGTCGAAACTCAATTCCTAACACTCTTCCGGGATCATGTCATCCGATTCTGAGCCTCATTTTCTCTTTCTATGGCCTTAGGTATAGAAGGTATTGGACAAAGCTGTGATCCATACTCTAGGAATTTAGTCTAATTTGGTAGATGTGATATATGCGTAATTAGCATAAGGCGACTACTAATGAGTACCAGTCTTGCTGGAGAGGAGGCAACAAAGAAGACCAGCGAGAAACGTTGAAATAACGAATTATGTGGACGATGATGAGCTCCAGGTCAAGCCTTATTTTTCTGTAAGCAGTGAAAAGACACTGTTTGAGCAGGTAGGGGAGGATGGATGGTAGCTGTATAGAGTAAAGGTGTGGGTGGCTACGTGCTTAGACTCTGGAGTTAAGACTGCAAGATTGTGTGTGTTTGTTAATCCATACCCAAAGATCCTTTTCCATTGGTTTTAGATAGAGTGGAAGGGAGGGCGGGGCAGGGGGATGGGACATCATTTGAGAGAGACAGACACAGGAGCCAAACCGGCCAGGGCAAGACTGCAAGGTTTTTAACTGCCACATACTAACTGTGCAACCTTGGGTGAATTACTCAACCTCTCAGAGCCTCAATTTACTCATCTGCAAAATGGATGATAATCCCTATTTTATAGGGCATCGTGAGGATTGAGAAAACTTTGAAAATACATATACTGTGCCTAGCACATATAATCATTAAATGTGTATTAACTTATATTCTTACTTCTTTATAAGGCATTGCTTAGGAGATTAAGCTAACAAAGATAGGTACTCTGGAACTGAATGTACCAGAAACTGGAGGCAGAGAAGCACATTAGAAAATTGCCATAGTCCTAGACTGTAAGAGTTGAAGGGAAGGGACAAATAGGAAACATTATGAAGGAAAACCTATCTCCTTTGGAAAAGGAGACAGTGGTCATGTTGGCAATACCTGGGGGAAACTGGCAGAATTATAGAAATGGACTAGAAGTCTAAAGGAAGAGCTTGTTGTGGACAGAAGAGATGATAAGTTCAGTCTGAGGGGATGCTTTGGAGATTTCAGCAGATACCTCTAGATTTGTGATTGAAGCCAAAGGGACTTATCAGAGCTTTAAGTGTAGGTTTTGGGATGTGGCTTAGTGAATACAGTTGAGTTTTTTTAAGTAGAGAATGTAGAAGCAGAATATCTGGGTATGTTTACCTGGTTAATGTACCAGATGCCTAAATCGATTTTCCCATTCTTAGACCCAGCAGGAGGCAATGCTATTCAAAATCAGAAAATCAGACCTTCTACTGGGAGAAATAGCCAGTTTCCACAGCCCACTGCCCCCCATCTCTCTGTAGAAATGTGTTTACATTTGCCTTCACTTCTTCCAAGCTGTACTGTACAGACCTCTCTAGAGTCTTATCCCAAACTTGAATTTGTCCAACAAACTGGACAAAGACCCTGTACTGAGAAAAATGTTTTATCCTTGATCAGAGACAACCCTATACTTAGAGATGAATGGCCCTGCTGAGAAAGGGGAAAACCCAAGCTACTTAATTTTCATAACAGAATATTGTCTTTGCTGCTTTTCACTCAATCTACAGGTTAAACAGCATAGTATGATGTTTTCCAAGGGAATCCAATAAAAAACACTATCCTTGGTGGTTTCAGTGAACTCATTAGAATGTTCAATACCCAGGCCAGTTTGACTCAGTGGTTAGAGTGTTGGCCCTCAGACCAAAGGGTCAAGGGTTTGATTCCTGATCAAGGGCACATACCTGGCTTGCAGATTCGATCCCCAGGACCCAGTCGGGGTCATGTAGGAGGCAACTAATTGATGTGTCTCTCTCACATAGATGTTTCTCTCTCCCGCCCTCCCTCCCTCCCTTCCATTCTATCTAAAATATCAGTGGAAAAATATCCTCAGGTGAGAATTAACAACAACATAAAAAGAATGTTCAACATATTTCTTCTTCATTGTGCTAGGTTAATAACTACAATGTATATTTTATCTATGTGAAATACCTATATATCTAAAGGACAAAATTGCTACATAAATCTCTCAGTTCATTGAGACTTCCTGAATTAATACTTTTTGTATTATACTTCACATCTTTGCAATTACTTAGTTAGAAAAAAAAATAACACTTAAATTACTCAGCAGTGACCACATTTTCATAGCAAGAGTGTAATGTTATTTCAATAATTTTTAAATGACATACTATATAAGTCAAAGGATGCCAAAGATTGCTAAATTATTTCTACTTTTTTTAAAATCCTCACCCAAGGATATTTTTTCTATTTCTCTTCAGATGGTGTGGGAGGGCAAAAGAGAGAGAAACATTGATGTGAGAGAGACACATTGATTGGTTGCCTCTCAAACAACCCCAACCAAGGCTGGGGACCGAACTGCAACTGAGTTACATGCCCTTGACCGGAACTGAACCTGTGACTCTTTGGTCTACAGGCCGATGCTCTAACCACTAAGCAAAACCTGCCAGGGCAAATTATTTCTACTTTTTATTTGCCTTTCATAGAAAAGCAGTTTACCTTTTGTTGTTACACTAAAATACCTAAATATCAGTTCATCTACTTGATTTCTGATGATGGCATAATAAATTTGACATTTCATTAAAGGCAATTTCAAATTAGCCCATTTATTAATGGATCAAGTAGAATTATTAGCCAATCTTCACAAGAATCTTTATTTTATGATGCACACAATGCATTTTATGTGTGTTTATATTAAATAATCTTATAGCCCCGGCAGGTTTGGCTCAGCGGTTAGAGTGTTGGCCCGCGGACCACTGAGACCTGGGTTCGGTTCCCGCTAAGGGCACGTACCTCAGTTGTTTGTCCTCGGCCCTGGTTGGGATCATGTGGGTGGCAGCCAGTCCATGTGTCTCTCTCACATCGATGTTTCTATCTTTCTCTTCCTCCCTCTCTCCTTCCCACTCTATCTGAAGATAAATGCAAAAATGTCCTCGGGTGAGGATAAAAAAAAAAAAAATAAATAATCTTATAGTTCAAAGTTATTTTTCTCATTTTTTAGAAAATAATAAACTTTATTTTTTTAGAGCAGTTATAGGATTACAGAAAAATTGGGTGGAAAGAACAGAGAGTTCCCATATGGTCCCTTCAACACATAATTTCCGCTATTATTAACATCTTGCATTAATATGGGACATTTATTACAACTGGTACATTATTACAATATTCATTACAATATTGATACATTATTATTAACTAAAGTTCATAGTTTACATTAGGGTTCACTCTTTATGTTATACATTCATGCGGAATAATTTAACTGCCCTAAAACTCCTTCGTGCTCTTTCCTATTCATTTCTTCTCCCCAACCCCCAATTTTTGGCAACCCTAGTCCTTTTACTGTCTCTGCAGTTTTTGTGTAAGGGTAAGATCTATGTCTAGAATCAGTTTTTTTCTTTTACATGTGGCTATCCAGTTGTTCCAGCAGCATTTGTTACAAATACTATCCTTTTCTCCATCAAATTGCTTTTTTTCTCTATCAAAACCCAGTGAACTCTCTGGGTCTGTTTCTGGGCTCTCAGTGCTGTTCCTTGTATATATTTGTCTATTCTTTCACCAGTACCATGTTGTCTTGATTACTGCAGCTTTATAGTAATTCTTGAAGTCTGGTATTGTCTTCCAATTTTATTCTGAAATATTGTGTTGGTCATTCTGAATCTTTTGCCTCTCTATAAATTTTAGAATCAGTTTGTTGATATCCACAAAATAACTGGCTGGGATTTTGACTGGGATCATGTGGAATCTATCGATCAGGGTGGGAAGAACTGACATCTTGACAACACTGAGTCTCCCTATACATGAATGTGAATTATCTCTTCACTTAGTTCTTTGAGTTCTTTCATCAGATCTTGTACATATTTTATTAGATTTATACCTATTTCATTTTTTGGTACTAATGTAAATGACATTGTGCTTTTTAATTTCAAGTTCCAATTGTTCACTGCTAGTGATATTAGTAATTTGTGTCTTCTATTTTCAGTTAACCTGGCTAGCAGTTTACCAATTTTATTGATCATTTCAAAGAACCAGCTTTGGTTTTACTGATTTTTCTCTATTGATTTCCTGGTTTTAATTTATTTTTGCTCTAATTTCCATTATTTTCTTCTGCTTAGTTTGTGTTTAATTTGCAATTTTTTTCTAGTTTCTTAAAGTGGAAACTTAGATTATTGATTTTAGATATTTCTTGTTTTCTACATATGCATTCAGTGCTATAGATTTCCTGCTAAGCACTGCTTTTCGTTCATCCCCCACATTTTGGTGTTATATTTTCATTTTATTTGTTCAGATTATTTTAAAATTTCTCTTGAGACTTCTTCTTTAACCCATATAATACTTATAAATGTGTTGTTTAATCTCCAGGTGTTTAGAGGATTTCTAGGTATCTCAGAGTTGTGACGAGCTTAATATTTTTACTTCAACAAAGTAAAATAATATCCCCCAAAACTGAAATGTAAAATCATTTTCTATTTAGGATAATATAGAAATATATTTTCTCCAGTATAAAATAGTAAGGAAAAAAATTAAACCAGAAGCCTTAAACAAGAAATTAAAAGTAAAATTTTCATAGTTAATTTTAGAAATGTCTTTAACAAACATTCTCCCTGGGCTGAAGGGGGGGAAATCTTTTAATCTAAATTATTATTGAATTTGTACAACGTGTACTCTTGGCATGAAGACATAATTAACTATTTTGATTCCTGTTTGATTCCATATATGTGTGTATTAAATCAAGTTTACCTAGGAGAGATTCTTATGACAAAAGCAAACACAGGAGATATTTTAAAATCTCTTAAATGTTTTAGGTTCTAGATACCTAGGTCATTGTTTGCTTTTATGACTAGTCTGGTATTAGCTAATAACTGTAGGTTCACAAAATATGTCACATCCCTACCTTTTCACCTCCTTAGCAAGAACAATTTCTAATTCAAACAACCATACTGGTCTCTAGTAAAGAGATTTGCTCATATTCATAGAATTAGCAAAACAGATCTGAATGAAGTAATAAGCTTATATGAAGCTGAATCTAGAAAATGTACCCTATGAAATTAGCCAGTCACATATGAACAATGTAAAAGATTCATAAACAAAATTTTATTTTGCAATAACTATTTTTGTGATTATATAGCTGGATCTAGGAAGAAAATGCATAAATAGCCGTTCTTTTCAGAAATGAACAGACTTTCCACTGTACAAACCCACATGCCTGCAGCACAATGAAAGAACAAAGAAAACGTCTTTGCACTGTGGTTATATCAAATCCAGTGAACCTAATGTATCTACTTCATCTATGTCAAAAAATTTTCCCTTTGTCCTGATGACCAAGTAAAAGTTCACAGTACTTATATGAAAAAAGCCATATCATAACTTTGTACAATTACTTAGGCTGCAATAAAACTACAACATACACATATATACACAACCTCAAATAGGTCTGTCTTTAATGGATGAAGAAAAATAACAGTATAACTGATTTCACAAATACTTCAGAGACATTTTTCTTAAAGAAATCTGTGACCACTTCATTTTTCCAGCCTCCTTAAAATGTTCTTCAAACCTTGGCTGGTTTGGCTCAGTGGTTGGAGCGTCAGCCTGCGGACCAGAGGGTCCTGGGTTCGGTTCCCGCTAGGGGCACGTATCCAAAAAAAAAAAAAAAATGTTTATCAGCAATACTTCTTCCATCTAATTACATTTACTGTGTCCCGTGATGTCACACACTCATTAACTGCATGAACAGTTCAGTGCTTACATAAACCGAACATTTTAAAAAATGAACCTATTATCCGAAGAATGGTACATTAAGAATTCTATTTTGTGAGTTTATGGAAATTAACACACAGAAATGTCCTACATGAACATACTGATTTTCTTTCTCCTAAAACAAGCATAATGAGCCAAAATACTTGAGTGAAAACAAGTAACACAAAAAAGTAGACCACTTGGAGGAAAGAAATCTGACATTTACCAGCAATTTGGGGGAGGCGAAATGTCAACTCTTAAATGATGCAGTCCATGACATGAATTTGTAATGTATCTATGTCGGGCAGAACTTCTCCACATTTGGGGCAAGAATGAATTGGTATATTTTGCTGCTGCTGTAGCCGCCAGTTCATATCCTCAGCTCCTGGGAGTAAGCATTAAATGAAATGTTATTCCATTCCTTCCATGTTACCAGCAGTCTACTTTGATGGATTTTAGTAACAGATGGTTAATTTTAACATCAGTTAAACATTGAAATCTATACCTAGTGGGAAGTGAATCCAGGTCATTTTTGTCTTTTACTGAAGTAATCTACACACAGAAAATCTATAAAAGTAATACCTTCTTCCCTATTATTTTAAGATTTAGGCTCTATTCCAGGTTCTGGGTACATGAAAATACATAGTTTTATTTCTAGCTATCAGATAATACATGGATATTTGAGAAAAGAAAGAGATAGATGAGGATAATAAGCTGAAGAGGAAAGATGTGGAGAAAATGATGAGCAGAGCATGGAGAATATTTGAGAGAAGAAAGAGATAGGTGAGGGTATAAGCTAAAGAGGAGAGATGTGCAGAAAATGATGAGCAGAGCATGGAGAAGTGGTATCCTACAACAGTATGTTATCTCCTTAGAAGCAGAGCCAGTACTTGTGTTCATTCAGCAGATACTTTTGAGTACCTTGTGAGATGGAAGAGAAGGATTCAGATATGGTGGGGGTGTCAGACAAGAAAAGTGACAGCATGACATGTGAGGGAAGTACCATGGCTGTGTCATGCACAAGGTGGTTTAGTGGGAGGACAGAGAAAGGCACCTGGCTCAGACTGCTCCATGCAGACAGGCCCCCTGGATGAGGCCTATTCCACTTGAGGCTTAAGAATGAATAAAGGTTATCCAGGCAAAGTGAGGAGAAAGAATTGAAGAATGAGTCTGTCATTTCCTCCAATTTTGGAGCTGGACCGAGGTTCAAGTCTAAATCAAAGAATGCTTGAAATGAGCCTTCTCTAGGTAGGTTCCACACGTGCAAATTGTGATCAGTGCTGGAAATGACTTCTGGCTCCTTGATCTGACCTTTCTGGACAAATGCAAACCATTTTTGTTTTGTAGAGTCTCACCCAGATCTCCAGACTTTCATTCAATCCCCAAATGTTTTTAGGGGGATAACAGTGCAGGTAACCTTTAACATGGTTATTTGCTTCTGAGCATATTACTTGAATTGAATAACATGTGAGAGACTATTATAGATAGTTTGTATTCAGCAAACTTTAGAAGTACCCTTGAATAGAAATACTGATCACAAGGCATGATTTCTAAAACAGGGAGCTTTCTTTTTTTCTTTTTTATTGAATTTATTGGGGTGACACCAGTCAACAAAGTATACAGTTTTCAGGTGCACAACTCTACAACATACCATTGGTATATCACACTGTGTGCCCACCAGCCCAAGTCAAGTCACCCTCCTTCACCATTTACCCCCCCCCCCATACATTCCCCCACTCCCCCCCACTCCTGGCAATACCCACACCATTGTTCCTGTAGCAGGGAACTTTCTAATGGTCTCATTGTTCTACATCAGGGATCAGTAAACTTTTTCTGTAAAACGTTTACTGGAAATCAAACTGTCGACCTCTTGGTGCGTGGGTTGATGCTCAACCACTGAGCCACACTGGCCAGGCTGGATTTTTTTTTTTTACCCTCACTCGAGGACGTTTTTTGATATTTTGTTCAGATAGAGTAGGAGGGAGGGGGGGGGGGGAGAGTGAGAGAGAGAGAGAGAGAGAAACATCGATGTGAAAGGTACACATCGAGTGGTTGCCACTCGCACGACCCAACCAGGGCTGGGGACAAACTGCAACCGAGGTACATGCCCTTAGTGGGAGCCGAACCCGGGTCTCTCTGGCCACAGGTCGATGCTGTAACTGCTGAGCCAAACTGGCCAAGGCTGGAATATTTTTTTATAAGACAAAAAAGCTTACTAGGAATAAATTTTAACTTTGTGATGAATTTTAGATTATAATACAAGCCAAACAGTGTTTGACCAATTCTTTTTCTTTTTAATGTCAAGAGGCATTTGCCTTAGATGAATGAAAATCTTCCCTTAAGAAATCTAAGTGCAAGAGATTGCCCTTTTTGACTCAAGACAATTGTGTAGGTATTTCTAGATATGAGGTATATTGGTGTTCCTAGGATATTTAAAATTAGGTTAGAGAAAATGCATAGACTTCTGGTCAAGATGGTGGCGTACGTAAATGTGGTATTGAGTCCTCGCACAACCACATCAAAGTTACAACTAAACTACAGAACAACCATCCTTCAGAACCGCCTGAAATCAAGCTGAATGGAAGTCCTACAACTACGGAATTAAAGAAGCAGCTACATCGAGACTGGTAGGAGGGGCGGAGGAGCGACGGGCTGGTCCCACACCCACCTGTGGCAGATAAAAATTAGGAGGATACCTTGGCTGGGAAGGTCCTTCCTGAGGACTGAGGAGTCCCCATCCCACACCAGGCGCCCGGCTCAGGGTTCCAGTGCCAGGAAGAGAATCCCCATAACTGCTGGCTGGAAAAACCAGCGGGAACTGAGGCTCAGGGAGGCTGAGGCAGCTGGAGCCCCAGGCAACTCCTCTTAAAGGGCCCGCACACAGACTTATTGGACTCTCTCCCTCTAAGCTTGGAGGGGAGGCAGCTCGAGGGGCACCAGAGACATACAGGGAAGAACTGTTTGGCATTGGAGCGAGGGCTGGAGAGGGGGCTTTCTCCAGGACAAACGTGCTGTCAGAGGCCTTTGCTCCTTTGGTGAGCCCTTCCCTGGGGTGGCAGACAGCCGCCATAGCTGGGACTCCAGCAACCTGGCTCACATTGGTTGCCCCGCCCTGGTGATTCCCTGAGGCCCTGCCCCACCCAACTTTCAGGCCCACCCAAGCTGTTGCCAGTTGCTTAACCATAGGATTGGCCTGTCATGGATCCTGCTTCAGGTTTTCCTGAATTCTTTCAAACAAGCAGCATCTGGTCTCAGCTAGCCCCATACCTCTCGTTAAGCAATACATAGACACAAACACAGGGAGGCAGCCAAAATGAGGAGATAAAGAAGCAGGTCCCAAATGAAAGAACAGAACAAAACCCCAGGAAAAGAACTAAGCAAAATGGAGATAAGCAAACTTACAGATGCTGAGTTCAAAATACTGATTATAAGGATGCTCAATGAACTTAGTGAGAATCTCAGTGAACTTAGGGAGGGCCTCAAGAGCGTAAAAAAGGACCAGTTAGAAATCATGGATACACAGTTAGAATTGAAGGAGGCATTAACTGAAATAAAGAATAATTTACACAGCTTCAATAATAGAGTATGTAAATCCAAGGAGCAAACCATCGATTTGGAATATAAGGAAGCAAAAAATCCCCAATCAGAACAGCAAAAAGAAAAAAGAATCCAAAAAAATGAGGATAGCTGTCATTTAGAATTGATGGACATATAAAGAGTTTCCCAGACAAGAAAAGTTAAAGGAGTTCATCACCACCAAACCGTTGTTATATGAAATGATGAAGGGTCTTTTTGAAGAAAAAGATAAAATATATGAACAAACAAAATGGCAATGAATACATATCTATCGACAATTGAATCTACAAAGAAAATGAACAAGCAGAACAGAAACATTCTCATAGATACAGAGAACATTTTGTTGGTTGCCAGATGGGAGGAGGGTTAGGGGAATGGGTGAAAAAGGTGATGGGATAAAGAAGTACAAATTGGTTGCTAGATTGACAAACCTCAAAGGGAAGGGGGTTGGGGGGTGGAAAGAAATAATCCAAAGAATTTATATGCATATATACATAACCAGTGGACACAGACAACAGTGTGAGAAAAGGCAGGAGGGGTTGAGAGTGGGAAGGGGTCAATGGGGGAAAAATGAGGAACATCTGTAATACATTCAACAATAAAGATTAAAAAAAAGATTAAAAAAAAGAAGAAAATGCATAGCAGTGCTCAAGTAGGTAGATACAGCTTTCAGAGAAGGATAGAGCTTTCTTTTTACCCACTGATGCAAAAATTGCCTGAGGCTATTGTTTTTTTTTTTTTTTTTCTTTTCTTTTCTTTTACTGATTTTACAGAGAGAGGAAGTGAGAGAGAGAGAGATAGAAACATTGATGAGAGAGAACTTTGATTGGCCTCCTCCCGCATGCCCCCGACTGGGGATCAGGCCCACAACCTGGGCATGTGTCCTGACTGGAATCGAACCAGTGACCTCTTGGTGCATGGGTCGACACTCAACCACTGAGCCACACCAGCCAGACCTGAGGTTATTGTTTATGTCCATTCACATGCTGCTACCTCTCTGCCTGTGCCCCATGAATACTATGTTTACTTGTATCCTGAATTACTACCTCTTATATTTACTTTAGTCTGTTTTTTCCCTGTAAAGGAACTTTGGTGGTGGTTGTGGTAGAGGAAATAGGAGGAGATAGGAGAAAAGGGATACTCAGAGAAATTTCCCCAAGATTTAACAGTTAACGATACATACTAATATTATTTCCTTACTCTTGATAACATTGTGATCTAGTTCCATTTCAATAGTCAGTTGTTATGTGGAAGGGACTTAGACTGGATCAGCATAAAAAAAAAAGTAACCAGTTGGGAAATTGATAACACAGAGGCAATGCTACACCTGGCCCACACCTGTGTCAGGTTGGGGCATGTGACCATTTCTGCACATCTGTCCACGTAACAGCGTCAGAGTACGGAGGGTGTTGACGTCCAGAGCAGTTTATCACAGGTGACTTTTGTTACTATTCTCCTTTATCTTACAGATGTCAGATGCAGACACTGGTGTTTAAATATTTTTTCCCTATAAGTTATTAGAAATAGATAAGTATTATCTTTGAGTTTCATTTCAGGATAGTAAGGGAGATGTGACAAAATACGTGTTCTAAAAGGGGGCCTTGGAGCTACTAGGTTGAGAATCACTAGTTCTAGATTCTTCTCTCTCTCTCCCCCTTCCTCTCCCCCTCCTGCTCTATCTAAAGATAAATGCAAAAAAAAAAAAAAAAAAAAAAAAAATGCCCCTCGCCCTCTTATAGGGAAAAAAAATGTCCTTGGGTAAGGATAAAAAATACGTGTGTGTGTGTGTGTGTGTGTGTGTGTGAGATGATCAATTTCATTCAGGAAATTAAAATCTGGATGTAGTACATAACTGAATGACAGTTTATTCCATGCAGTACTGTGTAGTGGTTAAGGGTCAGATAGATAGCCTTGGGTTCCGAGTCCGATTCTGCCCCCAATCCACCTTATCATCCTGAGCAACTTAACCTTGCCTTCTATAAGATAGTGATAATATATACCTGATAGAATTGTGTGAAGGTTACATGAAATACTGTGTATGAATGAAGTGATCAGCACAGTGGCCACTCATAGTAAACTGTCAGTGGTAACATCATTATGTGCATAACAACAGGTAGTAGGTGAGTATATCAGCTCTGAGGGAGCTTATTTAAAAGAGACTGGCCCAGCTGGTGTGGCTCAGTGGATTGAGTGTCGACCCATATACCAAGAGGTCACTGGTTTGATTCCCGGTCAGGGCACATGCCCAGGTTGTGGGCCCCATCCTCGGTGGGCAGCCAATTGCTGTTCTCTCCCATCGATGTCTCTCTCTCTCTCTCTCTCCCTTCTTCTCTCTCTAAAATCAATAAAGAAAAATTATTTAAAGAAACAAACAAAACTTAAAAAAATAAAAGAGACTTAAATTTATATTTAGAACACAAATAATTATAATAAATAGCAGGTAAGTACTAAAACAGGAATAAATTACTCTGGAGATTCAGGAGGAAGAGGTCACATTCTCTTGGTATCAGAGATGGTATTTGCAATGGGTTTTAAAGATGGGATAAGAGTTCACTGGAAAGAGACTAGAGGAAGACAAGCATATGAGTGAGGGAAGGGCATCTACATGAAGGACACCCCATAAACAAGTATATGTAGTTATACAAGTTTAGGGTAAGTTCAAGGAACAAGGAATGATTTAGTTGGCTAATTGCTATAGGGGAATACAGTGAAAAAAGACTTAGAAGTTTGGCTATGCCAGGCCTTAACTGTCAGCATGGAGAGTCTGGTCTGGATTTAGTAGGTAATGGATGGGGAGATTGGGGTACTGTGGAAATAAGACTGATGGGTACTACATTTTTGGTAGCTTGATTTGAAGTCCATTATATATGATGTAGTGGAATTTATTTTTAAGTATCTTCAAGGATAGTTATTCCCTGGAATCTTGAAAGCCTAGAATCACACATGACTCACCTCTTTGAACAAGGTAATCCTGTTGGTCGGGGTCACTGGTTCTGGCCCCATGACGGCTCTGCATTTCCATCAAGGACTGCCTACTGGGATTAAAAGCGACACTCTATGTGATATTCTAAAACCCAGAAATATGTCAAAATAAAGCACACATTCAGCAGAAGTTATGAGGAAAAAAGAGCTGAACTACAATGCCAAGGTGCATAGAAACCAGAACTTAAGATTAACTTGAACTGTAAATATTACTGGTACTCAGACACAATGATTTTTTAAAAATCAATTAGAAAGTAACCAAACTGTCAATTGATAGGGGAATGAATTAGAAAAAGTGACATAGCCCTGGCCGGTTTGGCTCAGCGGTTGGAGCGTTGGCCTGCGGACCAGAGTCCCGGGTTCGATTCCCACTAGGGGCACATACCAAAAAAAAAGAAAGAAAGAAAAAGTGACATATTTCTAATGAAACACTACAGAGCAATTAAACAAAATGAGTTAAATCTGTACATATATACACACAATTTAAAAATCACAATGTTATGTAAAGCAAGTTGCAAAACAAGATTTATAGTGATCATTTTGTAGTTCAAGCACAGATAAATTAGTATTATCTTATTTTAAGATATTATACAGATGTGTCTATATGTAACAATATAAAATGGATGGGGGTGCTACCCACCAACTTCCAGGCCGTATAGGGAAGGGAGAGAGAAATATAATGAAAGATGGAGAACAAAAAGACTTCAAACTCATCAACAACTCCTTTTTTCTTTTAATAAAAATATACTTGAAGCAAATAAAATAAATACTAGTAACTGTCAATTCTGGATGGGGAACATATTAGTGTGTATTTTAATCTCTGTATTTTTCTATTTCTATATTTTTCAATTTTTTCTCAAAATGAAAATTTATCCTCACCCGAGGACTTTTTTTGTTTTTTTTTTCCAATTTTTGTACAGATAGAGTGAGAGGGAGAGAGAGAGAGAGAGACATCGACGTGAAAGGGACACATCGAGTGGCTGCCACCCGCACGACCAACCAGGGCCGGGGACAAACTGCAACCGAAGTACATGCCCTTAGCGGGAACCGAACCCGGGTCTCTTCAGACCGCAGGCCGACGCTCTAACCGCTGAGCCAAACCGGCCAGGGCTCAAAATGAAAATTTAAAGGACAGAAGCAATTTTAAAACATTAAAAAAATTTTTTTAAATTGATTTTTAGAGAGGAAGAGAGAGGGAGAGGGAGATGGAAACATTAATGAGAGAGAACACTGACTGGCTGCCTCCTGCATGCCCTCCACTGGGGATCGGGCCCACAACCTGGGTATATGTCCTGACTAGGAATCGAACCAGTGACCTCTTGGTGCATGGGTCTACCCTCAACCAGAGTCACACTGGCCGGGCAGGACAGAAGTAATTTTAACAGCATTTTCTTTTACGATATATTACAAAATTATTATTATTTTTTTATTTTTGTCCTCACCCGAGGACGTTTTTCCATTTTTTGTACAGATAGAGTGGGAGGGAGAGAGAGGAAGAGAGAGAGAGAGGGAAACATCGACATGAAAGGGACACATCGAGTGGCTGCCACCCGCACGACCAACCAGGGCCGGGACAAACTGCAAGCAAGGCACATGCCCTTAGCGGGAACTGAACCCGGGTCTCTCCGGACCGCAGGCGGACGCTCCAACTGCTGAACCAAACCGGCCAGGGCTTACAAAATTATTTGAAGTGATAGGACTTTTTCATTCATGACAGTGGCAAGCTATGACTTTAAAACTGTCCTGTTTTCACAGCTAATAGAAAAGCAAAGAACTTGATCAGGTTTCCCCAAAATACTGCCAAGCCTTGTAAGTCAAACTAAGTATAGGAACCCAGTCAAGTGAAGTGTACCCAGAGATTCTTAGAGCTCATATTAGGAACTATCTTTGCCAGATCCTGCAATGAAATGTGCTCTAAGTCTTCCCCTCACCTTACCTGCCTCCATCTTCAAAAACATTATTGTCTTTCAGCAAAATTGCCAGCTGCAGTGCCAGTTGTTCCTTTTCTTCATGAATCTTCTCTCTTGCTGCTCTTTCAGCATGAAAATCTGAACAGTAAACCTCCATCTGTTAGAGGAAGAAAGAGACAGCAGTTACTATCTAGATGATGTAGATTCTCTACAGCTCACCTGTTGAGGTGAAGAGGTAGTGCTGTAGCCTGTGATATGCCTTCTAAATGACAGGTACATGTTCCTGATAGAAACCAGTATAGTGACCGTGACTTTCCAATTACCTTCAAGTAGAAGACACAAGTTGTGTATGTGTGTGCACTTTAAACAATTAGAACCCAGCAATTACACTGATATAGGTGGTTTAAATACTGTATATACCATCAATTCAGTAAAATTCTCTGGTCTCTTTTTTAAAAATTATATTCAGGATTAGCTTAATATAGTAAATGGTTTATTTACTGGTATATTTATGAAGGCTGGCCTTAAATTTAAAAAAACAAAACAGATGCTATTTATTGAATTCTAAATATATGCAAAGTTCTATGTTGACTATCTTATTTCACTTCATCAGAAATCTTGGGGCCCTTCCCATGATTACTTATAGACCGGAAGCCAGGACCTCAGTTCTCTTTCCCATCTTACAAGATGGCAGGTGAAAAAACTGAGAAGCTGCATACGAAGAAGAAACCTGGTGCCAAGAAGGCTGATGCTGGTAGCAAGGTTAAGAAGAGAAGCCTCAAGGCCAAGACACCTAAGAAGGGGAAGTCCACTGCAGCCAAAAGCCTGTCCTAGTCAAAGGAATTGGCAGATATTCCTGGTCAGCTTGTATTCCCGAAAGGCCATGTACAAGAGGAAGTATTCAGTGGCTAAATCCAGGATTGAAAAGAAAAACAAGAGAAAGTTCTTGCTACTGTCACAAAACCAGTTGGTGGCGACAAGAATCGTGGTACCTGAGTGGTTAAACTTCGCAAAATGCCTAGATACTATCCTAATGAAGATGTGCCTTGAAAGCTGTTGAACCATGGCAAGGAACTCTTCAGTCAGCATGTAAGAAGACTGCAGACTAGCATCACTCCCAGGACCATTCCGATAATCCTCACTGGATGCCACAGAGGCAAGAGGGTAGTTTTCCTGAAGCAGCTGAGCAGTGGTTTGCTACTTGTGACTGGACCGCTGTCTCTTAAACAAGTTCCTCTACGTAGAACACATCAGAAATTTGTCATTAACACCTTCACCAAAATTGACATCAGTGGTGTGAAAATCCCCAAATATCTCACTGATACTTACTTTAAGAAGAAGCTGCACAAGCCCAGACACCAGGAGGGTGAGATTTTGGACACAGAAAAAGAGAAATATGAGATTGCAGAGTAGTGCAAGGTTGACCAGAAAGTCGTGGACTCACAAATAATGCCCCCCCAAAAAGCTGTTACCTATCAATAATAACCTTAAATGTAAATGGTTTAAATGCTCCAATCAAAAGACACAGGGGAGCCCTGGCCAGTTTGGCTCAGCAGTTAGAGCATCGGCCTGCAGTCCAGGGAGGCCCCGGTTCGGTTCCCACTAAGAGTGCATATCTCGGTTGCAGTTTGTCCCCAGCCCTGGTTGTGCAGGTGGCAGCCAATCAGTGTGTCCCTTTCACGTCGATGTTTCTCTCTCTCTCTTCCCACTCTATCTGAACAAAAAATGGAAAAATGTCCTCAGGTGAGAATAAAAAAAAAAAAAGACACAGGGTAGCCCTGGCCAGTTTGGCTTAGCAGTTACAGCATTGGCCCATGGACTGAAGGGTCTTGGGTGTGATCCCCGGCCTTGGTCAGAGTTGTGAGGGAAGCAAGCAACTGATATGTCTCTCTCACATCAATGTTTCTCTCTCTCTCTCTCTCTCTTCCTCTCTCTCTCCCTTCCTTCTACTGTATCTAAAAATCAATGGAAAAATATCCTTGGGCAAGGTTTAACACAACAACAACCACAAAAAAGGCATAGGGTAGCTGACTGAATAAGAAAACATGACCCATATATATGCTGTCTATAAGACCTACCTCAGAAGAAAAGACTCACACAGAATGAAAGTGAAGGGATGAAAAATTTTTTTCTATGCAAATGGAAATGATAAAAAAAGCTGGGATAGCAATAGTCATATCTGACAAAATAGACATCAAAAGAAAGGCCATGCCCTGGCCGGTTTGGCTCAGCGGTTAGAGCGTCGGCCTGCGGTCCTGAGAGACCCGGGTTCGGTTCCCGCTAAGGGCGCGTACCTCAGTTGCAGTTTGTCCCCGGCCCTGGTGGGTTGTGCGGGTGGCAGCCACTCGATGTGTTCTTTCACATCGATGTTTCTCTCTCTCTCTCTCTCTCTGTTCCTCTCTCTCCCTCCCACTCTACCTGAACAAAAAAAAAAAAAAATGGAAAAATGTCCTCGGGTGAGGATAAAAAAAAAAAAAAAGAAAGGCCATAACAAGAGACAATCAAGGCCACTTCATAATACTAAAGGAATCAATACAACAAGAGGATATAAACCTGGTCAACATATATGCACCCAGTGCAGGAGCACCAAAATATATTTTTAAAAAAGCTTCTGGAGGACTCTAAGGAAGAGATCAACAGTAATACAATCATAGTAAGGGACTTTAACACCCCACTGATATCACTGGATAGATCTTTAAAAAATCAACAAGGAAACAGTGACCCTAAATGACACACTAGATCAAAAGGAAGAAGCAGAAAACCCGAATAAGATGATAATAACTGATGAAATTGAAGCAGTAGTAAAAAAAACTCCCAGCAAACAAAAGCCCTGGTTCAGATGGCTTCACAGGGGAGTTTTACCAAACATTCAAAGAACACCAATTCTCCTCAAACTATTCTAAAAAATCCAAGAGGAAGGAACACTTCCAAGTTCTTTCTACTAGCCCAGCATTATCCTAATTCAAAAACCAGACAAAGACACTACAAAGAAAGAGAACTACAGGCCAATATCCCTGATGAACATAGATGCTAAAATCCTCAACAAAATATTAGCCAACAGGATCCAGCAATATATTAAAAAGATTATATACCATGACTAAGTGGGATTTATACCAGGGATGTAAGGCTGATACAATATTCACAAACCAATAAATGTGATATATCACATAAACAAAATGAAAGATAAAAATCACATGATCATATCAGTAAATACAGAAAAAGCATTCAACAAAATCCACCCATTTTAAAAAATATATATTTTCATTGATTTTTTTAGAGAGAGAAGAAGGGAGAAAGAGATAGAAACACTGATGTGAAAGAGAAACATCGACTGGCTGCCTCCTGCACACCCCCTACTGGGGATTGAGCCCAAAACCCGGGAATTGAACCAGGACCTCTCAGTCCATGAGATGATGTTCAATCCACTAAGCCACACCGGCCTGGCTGGAAAACACTATTTTAAAAAATTAAAAATTGCTCTGGCCGGTGTTGGTCAGTGGTTAGAGCATCAATTCTGGTCAAGATTACAAACCTTGGTTGCGGTTCGGCCACCTGTCAATGTGTCACTCACATCCAAGTTTCTCTCTCTCTCTCTCTCTTTCTCTCCCTCCCTACACTCTATCTGAAGATAAGTGGAAAAATATCCTCAAGTGAGGATTAAAAAAACCCAAAATATTAAAAATTGATTTGACCCAGTAATCGTACTCCTAGGAATATATCTTAAGAATCCTGAAACACCAATCAGAAAGAACAGAATAGAATATACACCCCTATGTTCATAGCAGCATTATTCAAAGTAGCTAAGATATGGAAATAGCCCAAGTGCCCATCAGTAGATGAGTGGATAAAAAAAGCTGTGGTGCATATACACAATAAAATACGATGCAACTGTAAAAAAGAAGTATATATTGCCCTTTGAGACAGCATGGAGGGGCCCAGAGAGTATTATGCTAAGCAAAATAAGACAGTCAGAGAAAGAGAGGTATCGCATGATATCACTTACATGTGAAATCAAATGAATAAAATAAAACTGATGAATAAAATAGAAAGAGGCATGGAAACATGGAACAGACAAACCTCAGAGAGAAGGAGGTGATGGGAAGAGATTAGCCAAAGAACTTACATGCATATATGCATTACCGAGGGACGCAGACAATAGGGTGATGAAAGCCTGGGACAGGAGGGGAACCGGAAGGAAAGGGGCAATTTGGGAAAAAGAGGGAGACATCTTAATACTCTCAACAATAAAGATTTAGTTTAAAAAATCCTGGGGATGTAAAATTGCTATACTCATTTCATATTACAAGTTTAATAGCTCTTATCTTGGGGAAATTAGTTAAGAGGTCAAACCAGATTGAAACCCATATACCATGTACTCTTCCATATGCCATATCACTTCCCACAGTGGTAGCCAGCCTCCAAGATGATGCCAGTGATCCTCACCTCTTGTTATTCATAATCTCTTGTACTCCCCTCCCACAATGTATAGAGCCAACCTGTGTAACCACTAGGATACTGCAGAAGTGATGGTGTGTGGCTTCTGAGACTAGGTCATAAAAGACACTATGGCTTCTGCCTTGTTCTCTCCTGAATCACTTGCTCTGGGGGAAGCTAGCTGCCATCATGAAGTGCTGAAGCAGCCATACAGAGAGGCACACATGGTGAGGAACTAAGGCCTTCTAACCACAGCCATGTGAGTGAACCATCTTGGAAATGGATCTTCCTTCTTGACTATAGCCTCATAAGAAACCCTAAGCTAGAATCACCCTGCTTAAGCTGCTCCTACATTCCTGGCCCATAGAAAGTGTGTGAGATAACAAGTGCTTACAGTTTTAGCTGCTAAGTTTGGAGAGTAATTTGTTACCTAGAAATAGATAAATACTATGTCATGATAGCAATTTCTTCAGTTACAAAATTTATCAAGTAAAAGTGAACTGCTTAATAATGAATTGAACATTATTTTCATACAAGTTTTTAACTTGTTATATTTAAAAATTAGGTTTTTTTTCTTTTTAAATTTAGGGATTCTAGGATATAAATTTTAATCCATTACTTTTAAAAGTGAAATTAATAAAAATTTAAATATTCTATCACAATTGTAGCTACAAAAAGAAAGCATGTAATGAAGAGATCTATATAAGGGAGTTCCTGCCATTT